TATACGTTTTATAAATGGTTATATATAAAGGCATTCATCTACATAAAAATCAATTGCAAAAGGGAAACTGAAACATAACATTTATAACTTGAGTTTAAATTATTTAAAAGAGCTTTTTTGTTTGACGTCATTTATTTAATATAAAAGTGTTAATCACACCAAAAAAAAAAAAATCAAAGAGCTGAAACTTATGTTTGAGAAAAAATAAAAGGCCTTATAAATTATAAAGTCTTTTGCTAATATTTTGATAAATATTTTGTTTTGGAAAGTTTAGTTAATGTGAAACTTAATTTTTAAGGAATATTTAAAACATTAAATCACTCAGCATTTAGAGATCAATTTAATTATTTTGACTATTTCACCTAAAAATCTAATTTAATTTATAATTTAATTTAAACTAATTTAATTTAAACTAATTTAATTTAAACTAATTTGATTTATAAACTCTATTTAAATAAGTATTGAAATATTTGTCTTTTATATAAAAGAAAAATGTTTCTTTTCAAACACATAACTTGGGTTTTTTATATAAAAGAAAAATGTTTCTTTTCAAACACATAACTTGGGTTTTTTTATATAAAAGAATGCAAAAATGTTTCTTTTCAAACACATAGCTTGGGTCTTTTATATAAAAGAATGCCAAAATGTTTCTTTTCAAACACATAGCTTGGGTCTTTTATATAAAAGAATGCCAAAATGTTTCTTTTCAAACACATAACTTGAGTTTTTAATTACCGGATAATGCATATCTTTTAAATAACAATACAAGCATTACTTTTAAAGATCCTCCTTTTAGGAGGATCTTTAAAAGTAATGCTTGTATTGTTATTTTTTTCTTCAACTATGTCAGCATATTTTTTTCACCTGCTTCTGTTGCACTCCAGACTGGGTTGACAATTGCGTAGACTGTATGGATGAATAGATTTTCTTTAAAATATTTATTTTAGATCCTTTTTGACTTAAAGTAAGAAGTTTATAAATATTCTCATATAGTAGGCTTACACCTAAAATATAAAAAATATAGATCAGAAAAATGTAGAGAAAAAAGTGAAGTTTGTGTGTTTTTTATGACATAATAGTCCTTACATGCTGCACTATAAAAACTTCAAACCTTGTCTTTAACTAGGGGTGAGCAAAAATATCAGAATAACCTGATATCCTAATTTCCGGTCCGGTATCCAAATAAATTGGAAAAATCCAAAAATTTGATATCCAATCTGGAAAAAAGTGGACCGGAAATCCAATCTAATTTTATGGATCAGATTTTAATAATATATTAGATAACTAAATCCGATCTAGTTTTTCATAGGTAATGTTTTATAGCGGCGTAAAATAAATTTATCTTTAAGTTTTTTGCTAATTTTCATAATCATAACAACTTTAAAGTAGTTTAAATCTTATTTTTTCAATTAAATCTTTTATAAAATTAAATAATTTATCATAGGTTTTTATTTTGTTATTTTATTGTTGATAGTATCATAATTTTATATAATTAAATATTTTGATTATTATTTTCTTTAAAAATAAATACAATATTAGTTATAAATACAATATCTAGGTATTTATTTTATTTATATATTCATCTTCATTATAATAATAGAATATAGGGTATTAAAACTATTGTTTGTGCTAATGTGTTTTTAAAACATGTGGCTATGAAAAAAAGTCAGTTTAAACAAGATACTGATGCGAAAGGCAAGAAATAAATGCTGGAAATAAATGGAAACTTTAAAAACGTTGGTGTCAAATAAACTTATACAAATAAGATATTAATAGATCTCTTTAGGGAAATGTTTTTAAAAGTGTGTTTTTTACCACTTTAGAATATTATTTATATATTTTTTTGATTATTTAAAATTTAGTAAATTATATGTAAATACTAAATAAAAGTTTAAAGAGTATTGATATGCTTTAAAAAAATGCTTTGTTTAGAGAAATAAACTCTTTACTTTTATTAAAACTCCATTGCAGATTTTTTATGTGTATTGCTATATTGATGGTTAAGAGCGCAAAGGGAATATGTAATTAATAGTTAGTATATTGTTTAATATTTGTGTAGTACACCATACCGTTTATATATGATTCTTTCCAGTGTATTTAAATACAACATATGATATTTCAAATTAATCAAGTCGGGTTTTATTTAAAACCAGGCCAGGGGTTTTATAAATAAAAGATTTTGTGAGGGTTTGAATTTTAAGTTGATTAAGAGGTTATTATTCTGCCTACCTAAAATTTCTACTTCGTTTCTTACTTTGTTATTGTACATGATTGTACTTAAACATGAAAAAAAACATTTTTATCAAATGTTTTTTTTTATTATTATTTTTTTTTTAGTTTGTTTAGATGATTTTGCCCATTTTTAATTTATAAAGCTATTTTACTGTAAAAATATTTTTTTTACATATAACTCACAATATATTACTGAACAATAATAACTTTTAGTATACTGCATAACTTTTAGTATACTGCACAACTTTTAGTATACTTAATAACTTTTAGTATTCTTCACAATAGCAATCTTTATTCATAGTTAAATTCATTTAAAATTAAGAATATGATTTTTACTTAATTTTTTTTTTATTTTTATGAAATGACCCTTTATATATAAATGAGGCCATTTTATTTTTCTTATGTTTGTATTTTTCTGTTTTCTGTTTGCATCAATGATATCCTATAATTGAGTTCAGCTTTTTATTTAAATGAACTTTATTTTAACCGTGATAACTTACTGATTTTCGTCTTGACTTTAAATAAACTTTTCTTAAATAAACTCAAAAAATTTTAAGCTTAATGTTTTAAAATATTTATTTTGATAAATTATTAAACACTTAATTATTCGCTTTAAATAAACTTCTCAAAAAGTTTTAAGCTTAATGTTTTAAAATATTTATTTTGATAAATTATTAAACACTTAATTATTCGCTGCTAAAATGTTTATTCTGGTGTTAGGTATTTACTGGTAAAAATATTATATCAGATGGCTCTTTGATTGGATTATTCAAGGTAATTTTTTACACATTACATATTTTTATTTTATGCAAAAGATTACATCATTTTATTACAAGAGGTTACAATATTTTGTTACAAGTTTTTAAAATGATGTTATTATTTTTAGTGTGACTTATGGTATGTTCACAACCAACCTGGTATATGACTTTTATTTTTGTAAATTATTAATTATTGATGTTTATGATTTATGAAAAATAATTATTCAGATTTCTTAGCAACTTAAGAAATACCTGGAAAATCAAAGAATTTTAAAAAAATCAAGAAAAATTAAGGAAACTTATCACAATGTTGTAGAAATTTAGAGAAATCTTTGTTATGGCTTTAAAAATTTTCATTAGTTTCTATTATTTTTATTTCAAATCGTAACGGAAAAAATAATTTTAACAAAAGCTAGAAAATCATACAAATACTAAACATTCTCGCTAATAAACATTAATCCTGCTAACAAATTTCTTTTTACCTTAATTTTAGCTATCAATCTTACGCTTTATAAATATCTTATATAGGAGATTATATTTTCTTAAAACATTATAGTTAAATAGTAGCTAAAAAAATTTCTCTTTTATCAGTCTAGCATTCTTATTGGTTGAAATAATATAACTATAGACATTTCTAAAGTTTTTCACAAGAATGTTTCTATTTAAAAAAAAAAAATTTTCTGACAATTTTTTCTAAAAGTTTTACTTAACTACTCCTAATTTATTTTTTAGTTTAAGTTTATAGGTTTTTAGAATAAATTATAAAATACCTTTTTTTAGATCATTCATTTTTTAGTAAATTTGCTCCTCTGCTCGATGGGGCTACAACAGAAATAAAGGTAAAAATATTTAAAAATATTTTTTTTATATTTGTTTTGCATTTATTGGTGAACTTTATAATGTTTAATTATTGACTTTGCTTCAATATGTTTTTCTGATTAATGGAGCTATAAAAAAAAATCAAGAAAATCTTTGGTGAATTAATCAATTAACTAAGTTAAGGTGACACTTGCATAATTATAGAATTGGGATGTTCTACAATACCCATGCTTTAAAGCATTGAAATTAAAACATTGACATTTATGTTATAATAAAAGTAACCACAACAGCAAAAGAGATTTTTGCGATGTTATTTTTTGTAATGTTTATTTTATTATTTATTTATTTCATTATTTTAAGTTTTAGTTCAAGTTTATTATAAATATATTTGCGATCATCTGAGTTTTTTATTAAAAGTATGTCATGAATGTACTGTTGAGTCTTCTCTATTTTCAGTCACCAGAGTTTTTTATTAAAAGTATGTCATAAATGTACTGTTGGAGTCCCCTTTATTTTCAATCACCAGAACTTTTTTGTTAAAAGTATGTCATAAATGTACTGTTGGTGTCCCCTCTGTTTGCAGCTATTAAAACACACTAATTGTCTTTCTTGCATAAATTACAAAATGTTTCAGATGATGATTTAATTAAACAAATATGTGTAGTGGTAGAGCGCTTGCTTTATAAGTAAGAGATTTTGAGTTCGATCCTCACCACGCTCCTGGTAGTAATTGTTTCTCTGTGCAGCGGTCTTGTTTGTCAAATTCATGTTACGGAGTTATAGAGTTGAGAACCACAAAAAGTAACCTCCTTGTCTGTAGTGGCTTTCTCAGCCTTGGGGAGGGGGTTGAATTAAAAAATAAATAAATAATGACTGAAAAAATTTTGTAAAATCTTATTACTTATAAAGTTTTTTTAACTTCATTGGTTTTCATAATTCATAGTTTATGGTTTTAAGAGTTCATGGTTTCATGGTTTTCATTGTTTTTTATAGTTCATTATTTATCTTTTTTATCATTAAAAATTTTCATGATGCGTTATGACAAACTTTTCTAAAATGTTATAGTAAGGCTTTTATAAAATAGTTTGTTTTTTTTTGACTCCTCCATTTGGTATAATGTATAGAAATATATAATATATATTTTTTTGCTTTGCTAAAATTTTTGTAAAAAAATAACAAAAGCAATCTCTATATTTCTTATTTTATTGTTCCACTTTTGAACTGTATTCAAAATTACTGTTTCTCAATATTTGTATAATTTCAGGTTTTTACTTTCACTTTTTTAGGCAATATTAATAATTTATTTTTAGGGTTATGTACGTGTTGATTTACAAATTTTTACAAAAGGCGATGTTGTAAAGGTAATTTTGTGGCTATTCATAAATTTTTATTAACTTTTTTTTTTTTCTTAATTCTTTCTACTGTTAAATCTTCAAAATATTTTCTCAAGTCTTTCTAATCTTAAATATTAATTTTCCTAATATTAAATCTACATTTAGAGGTTTTTATTTAGGGCTTTATAAATATAAATTTCTTATTCCACATAGAATTTATTAGGAATTTTTCAGATTTTTAGTTAGTTCCAAAAATAATTTATTAAGAGTTCCTTAGATTTTCAAAAGCTATAATAGATAATAATAATAATAGATAATAATAATAATAGATAATAATAATAGATAATAATAATAATAATAATAGATAATAATAATAATAATAATAGATAATAGCTTAGAAAGTTAATTAAAGAGCTTGAATAAAAGTTTTTATTGTACTTGGTTTTTTTTATTGCTAATATATATAATTTTAACATTATAAACTTTTTTATTATATAGTGTTCATTAAAGATCATTAGAATATTATTTGCTAGAATATTAATTAGTACCTAAATTATTAGGTAAATAGTTATTATTAACTTAAAATATGTTGTTAAAAAGCATCAGCTTTAAATGTTCAATCTTGATCACATTCTTTTAAACATTTAATCTTAATCACTTAGTTAATTCTATGAAATCATTGTCCTAAAAAAATAATTATCTGATATTTCATAGATTTAAACTATGTTCATATTTTTCTTTTTTTCTTTTTACTTTTTAGGATCCACCTCCAAGAAAAGATGATTTGGAAATAAATCAGTAACGCTTTTTCTTTAATAAATTTTTATTATTTTGCTATTGCTATTTAAAGTTGTTCAATGAGCAATCTGACATGCAGATTGCTCATTGGACAATTCTGACATGCAGATTGCTCATTGGACAATTCTGACATGCAGATTGCTCATTGGACAATTCTGACATGCAGATTGCTCATTGGACAAATCCTATCATATTAACAACTAATATGATAGGATTTGACACCATTTGGTCCAGTGACAAATTGGGTATATAAATCACGCAATCAGATTTGTGCTTGAAAAGTTTATATTTTTCAAGCAATCAAGATAATATTTAAGAGTCATGAATTAGGATTATGTGTAAAATTTATGCAATCAGAATTATTTTAAAATCATACAAATAGGAGTAATCATTATTTTTGTATATTAAAGGCGTTGGAAGATAATAAATAAAAAACACTTTAAATATATTTTTAAATATATTTAAGATAATAAATAAAAATCACTTTAAATATATTTTTAAATATATTTAAGATAATAAATAAAAAACACTTTAAATATATTTTAAATATATTTTTATAATTGTTGCCAAAGAATAGAGAAATAAAATAATAATAAAAGTTTTTTTTTTTTTTTTTGTGGTTTTGATTTACTAAACTATTTAACAAGACTTTACAGAAATTTGTTTTTCTGTCTGCTTGAAAATGGCATCTCATGTTCCCATTTTTAAAAATTGTTGATTAACCTGACCAATCTATTGTCTGATCAGTCATATTTATTATTTTATTTACTTTATAACATTTATTGCAGTCTTCTTATTTTTATTAGGCTTTCCTCTAATTAAATAACTTCCAATAACTTATTTTGAGCCTAAAAAAATTTGATCCAGTTGTTCTATTGCTGATTTTTCACCTGTAAAATCTTTATCATGTGTTACAAGGACGCAGTGAGGGAAGAGAAAAGTATTCCTGACATATTAAAGGCATTCAATATAGTCTGGCATGCTGGTTCTTCATAAGCTCTTTGTGTGTGGTGTATCTCAAAAAGTGTTAAATTTTGTCTTTTTATCCCAGAATTCTTTGATATTGGGGTTACTACAAGGTTCCATTCTTGTCCCATTTTGTCACTTGTCTACATTAATGATCTTCCTTACAATTTTACCTCAAAAGTATTTCTATTTGCTGACGATACAACCATATATTCCAATCTTAATAAATGGTCATCACTTTTTGATAACTTAAAGGCAGCTGATCTTGACTGATTTCTATTCTACAACAACCTTTGACTTACTGCGGCTAGTGAATTTCATCTTTAACAAAATGTTGGTTTTTGCTAATTCTTATCACGTTTAACTTGTTATTCTTAAATCAATGAGTCGCAACACTCACTGAGTCTTTTAATTTACTGTTTTTTAAGATTCTTATGGAAAAATTATTTATTTTTTGAGCATATTTATGTTAATGATATTTGTAGATCTGGTAATTATTTGTTAATGATATTTGTAAGTCTTGAAATTTTTTGTTAATGAAATTTGTAGATTGGGAAATTATTTGTTAATAATATTTATAGATCAGGAAATTATTTGTTAATGATATTAGTGATTTGTTTGATCTGGAAATTTATTATTATTTTATATTGTAAAATGTATAAATATATGTAATTCTGGAAAATATTTGTTATTCATTATTTTATATTTGTTAAGTTGAAAAATAGTTATTTTAAATACAATTTATAGTCATTAATTTCTTAATTATTCATTTTTAATTTTTAAATACACATTTAATAACTTTTTTTTTACAGGAATTTAATTCTTCCACCTAAGGTGAATCCATTTCGACCTGTTTATCAATATCAGTTGAAAATATATGCCGCAGATGGATTGCCTCAAAGTATGTTGATAGAATCATTTTTTTTTTTTTTTTTACCTAAGATGTTAAAGGAAAGTTTGTTTCATAAATGATTTTTAAACATAAACATAATGTAACTTTTCAAACATAAACATAATGGCTTGAATACTTAAAACTCACTTAATACTTTTAAGTAGTGTGATAATCTTTTAATAAAGATTGTTACATCGGTCTTAAGGGATTTATTAATCTTGACTCATACTGTGTTAAATAAAAATCTTATTGGTAAAATTTAAAAAAAACTTACTGTTGGTCCACTTGTTGGCCCACTTGAAAGTTGGTTGCATTTATATGATGATTCGTTCACGTTGATTAGATTTATATGATGAATTGGTTACATTTTCATGAAACAATTATAACAATAATGTTATAGATTAATATAAATTTATGTTTATAACATTTTAAGGTAACTATCTTACACATAAATATATTATAAATTTAACTTTACAAATACCTTTTTTTTCTCTTTCCAGTCATATGCATATTGAAAGAATATCTATATAATATAATAGAAATATTTCACCTCTAAAACTAATATGTCATAAAGATAGGGTCAGCTATGCAAAAAGAAAGATGAATAAAATTCATATTGCAACCAAAAAAATAGCAATTATTTTTGGAGTTTCTCCAGATTTAATTAAGGATGAACCAAAAACAAAAGAGCTGTGTTGCGAAAGTAAACAAGACTTGGACTTATTAAAGGAATTAATTAAAGGAAAATTAGATGTTTCTTCAAAATCAGAAAAACTTACTGACTTTGGTTTCTTAGAGTTGGAACATTAGTTATACACAAAACTATTTTTCTGCTTCCCTTAGAATGATAAAATATGCATAATGAAGTGTAAATAAACTTGTTTTTAATTTAAAATAAATCATTTTTAGATTTTTTGATAAGTGATTCATTATCAGATAAAATATATTTACAGACAGAATACAATGTAACAGCAAGCATAAGTTTTATGTATGCATATTATATATTTAAATACATGTGTAATAAAAAATTCCTTTACTCATAAATCGCTTTTTAAAATATTTTTTAAAACATTTTAAGAATTATTTTATTTAAGTGAATGCTAATCTACTGGCAAATGTAAAGAAGGCTTTTAGTAACAAGGTTGGTTTAATATATTTTGATTATATACTTTGATGATAATGATTACAATGTCAAAGACAAAAATGATGATGATGATGATGATGATGATGATGATGATGATGATGATGATGATGATCATCATCATCATCATCATTATCTTTAACAATTTTAATGTTTTAGCTGTCTGATATGGCTGACCCTTTTGTTGAAGTATCATTTGCTGGATTAACAGTAAGTCAGATACTTTATTTTTTTCACTTTTATAAATTATTCTTGTAATTTTTAAAAAAATTTTATAGGCAAAAACACCTGTTATAAAGAACACATATCAACCTGAGTTTAATACTTTAATTACATTTACAGAGTTTGTAAGTTTTGATTTTAACTTTTTAGTTAAGTTGCTTTTTTTTTATGTGTTAAAAATTAAAAAGTTTTTTAACTGCTTAATTAAATTTAAGTTTCTTTTTAAAAGTTTTTTTTTAAAACTTTGAGGTTTTGTAAAGTTTGTTAACATATATTGTTAATTGGTTTTAAAAGAATTTGATTGATATTTTGATTAAAATGAATAGTTTTTATTTTTAAAGCAATTTAGTAATTTTTTTAAATTAATTAGTATAAATTAAGTTATATAAGAAGTTGCATATTTGTTAATATTGTTAATACCTTTATAATTATTACTTTGTGGTATTTTCATAAAACTTTGTTTTGTTATATGTTTTTGATATTTTGAAGATTTTATAGTAGTAAAATAATATTGTTAATTATGATGAGTTATATATGTGATGTGTGTATATATATATATATATATATATATATATATATATATATATATATATATATATATATATATATATATATATATATATATATATATATATATATACATATATATATATATATATATATATATATATATATATATATATATATATATATATATATATATATATATATATATATATATATATATATATATATATATTGTTATTTCTTATATATATATATATTGTTATATATTGTTATATATTGTTATTTCTTATATATATATATATTGTTATATATTGTTATATATTGTTATTTATTGGCCAAGGGTCTTGAGAAGGCTGCTACAGACAAGGAGACTTATTTGTGGTTATCCCTCTCTCAACTCCATCACTTCGAAGCACAAACCTTGTAGAAAAAGGCTGCTGCGCAAAGAAATGAGTTGAGTGCAGTACTACCAGGGATGTGGTGGGATTTGAACTCGGAATCTCTCGCTTATGAAGCGAGTGCTCTACCACTACACTACCTACCGCATATATATATATATATATATATATATATATATATATATATATATATATATATATATATATATACACAGTTTCTATTTTGTTAGTTTTGGTTTTATGAAAGTTTTTTTTATTAGTTTCCACCATTGTGCAGAAGAATTAAAATTCAACTCAAAGATAGGTGAGCTTCATTTTTTTAAATTTACTCTATAAAAGTAAAGCAAAATTGTTAAAAAATGTTTTGATCCGTTTCAGTGATATGACTACCACTGAACTGATAGGTACACACTTCATTGATATGAATGATATTTCAGATAAAGCTGAGCGAAGGAAAGGAGGTATATCTAAAAGCAGTTTTAATTTGAAATCATTGTTTTCTTACATAAAACTATTTGTATAGAGTTTAATTTTAAGGTTTTATGCCTACATTTGGCCCATCTTGGGTCAATTTATATGGTTCTACACGTGACTACTCTGTATCAGAGGAACATAATGATCTCAATAATGGATTGGTAATATTTTCATTAATTAATATCATCATGCACAACAAATTTAAAAAGTGCTCAAAATAATATCGCAAATGCTAATACTACTATTACTAAAATTATAGGGGGAAGGAATATCATACAGAGGAAGAGTGCTTTTATGGATGGATTGCTTTGAAGGAGAACCAGGTGATACTGGTATTGTTGAAGTTGAAGAATGTGAACCATTACAACCGGTAATAAATATTAATTAATAATAAATGTTAAAAATCATCATAAACCCTTAGTGTGATCATACTTACAGTAGAAAATAAATTTTACATTTTAACTTATTAACACATATAAGTTATATTTTGTAATAAATATTAATACTATATATATATATATATATATATATATATATATATATATATATATATATATATATATATATATATATATATATATATATATATATATATATATATATATATATATATATATTTATATATATATATATATATATATTTATATATATATATATATATATATATATATATATATATTTATATATATATATATATATATATATATATATATATATATATATATATATATATATATATATATATATATATATATATAAGTTTGAACTAAATTTTTTTTACTAAACATAAATAATGAAAACCTATCAATAAAAATAAAAAGCAAAATTTGTTTTTTTTGTTGGCTTTTCATTTATCCAAGTTTATCCAAGTTCTAAATTTTAAAAATTGATTGTTTTAAAGTTATGTCCTAAAAATTTCTGAAAATATTTAAAACCTGATGAGGTTTTAAAATGTTGCTGGGTAAAATATTTAAACATAGACAAAAAAAAAGTAGGCAAGAAAAATATTTAATAGATAAGAAAAAAGTAGGCAAGATAAATGTTTAATAGGGAAAAATAAATCAATGTTTTTAGTTTTTAATTTTTTTATATCACATTAATGTGATAATGTGGATCACAGACTACTAAAAAAGTGTACTGAATATAAAATTTGCATTATAGACACCAAATTAAAATTGCTGATATATATACACATTTGAAGTTTCTTTGTTTGTTTTGGAAAAACAAAATGACTTAAAATGACTTAATTTGCTAATCATTATTAATATGTTGCTTGCACTTAATTGTACACCACTATAAAACCAGCCAAAGGTTCGGGAAAAAAAAAGTTAAATAAAGAATAAGAAAGTAAAAAAATAAAATAGTTTTTATGCCATAATAAACGTTCATCATATGTAAATTCTACCTGCTCATCCAAACCTTTAGTTAATGCATTTACTGAAGCCTTCACTTATGGCCTTTTAAGTCTGGTATCGTTAATCATATATCATGCACAGCTGATGTTTGTATGTGTGTTTATATATTTAAATGTGTGTGTTTTTGTGAAATATATATTTAAATGCGTGTATTTAAATGTTTAATTGTGAAATATATATATTTAAATGTGTGTATTTTTGTGTTTGTTACTTACATATATATAATTTCAAAATTAAATGTTAAGAAAGAGTAAGATTATTAAAAGTAAGTGAAGATCTTATATATATTTTTTTTATATATTGTTTATTTTTTTTGACTATAATTATATAGCTGAGATAAAAAAAAGATGTAGTAAAAATGTCACTTAAACAAATTTGAATCTTGGACTAACAATATAATTGTACAGCTTCTCTAATTATTAAAAACATATAGTAGAAAAATGTAAAGCAAAAAAGTAATAATTATTAAAATAATCATTATCACTTAAATTTATCAATTATATAAGTTCTTATTACTGTATTGTTTCAATCCTCTAAAATATTTGTGGTCTTCACTTTTAACATTTTATCTGTCAGTCTTGTCTTTTGCAAAATTCATTAGAACTACTTGTACTTTGTGAGATTCAACGATACTTTTAAAAATAAGACAATTTTTTAAATTTTATTTTAAAATGTTTTATTATTTAAGACATGTTTCGACTATATATAGTCATCATCAGTTAAAATGTATTTGTTAAAAATGGTGTAAAATATAGTGTATAATAAAAGTGTAAAAATAAACATAATAAAAGCCATAGAATCGATAACTAACTTCCTATATATACAAAAAGAGTTATTAAAAATTATTTTAACAAATGTCAAATATAACAACGAAAACGGTAAGTTATTTTAAATGGTTAGAGTTTTAATATGATTTACTTGTTTATTCATATCGTGTTTTTCCCATCTTTTTAACTTAATTTTGTCATTGGCACAATCCAAAGTCGAAAAGCATTTATCACTATAGTTATTAAACACTTTTCTTTTGAGTGAAGATGCTTATAAATAAGAGTTTTTATCAATTCTGTAGCATTCAATCATTTGTGTCTTTAAAGGTACTACCAAGTCCCAAGACATGTTGTGTTCATATTGAAGAGAATGTTAAAAAAAATGTCTGATCAAATTTTTTTTGATTAAAACTAATTAATAAATGTATACCAAGAAAAACAAATCTTGTTGTTTTAGTCAAAGCTCGTCTTCTCCATTTTCTGTGGTATTTGGAGTCTGTAAAATAAATGCGATTTTTCAGGCGCATTATACAGACTTATAATTTATTTAAGTGCGTTTAATTTATAGAAGTTTTAGTACATGATGTCATTGTAAATATTCTAGAAAATCTTTAAAAGTTTTACTATTAAATTTTACTAAAATAGCTAACTATAGTTAGATATTTTATTTTCTAAAATCTTCACATTGAAAAAAACTTTATGTTTTTTTGTAGCTATCAGAGCCGTGGCTACATGGGCCATGGCGATGGTGGACCTAGGGACCCCTATGGTGCCAAATTGAGTTATATAATATCTCTGATGATTCACGAGTGTGTTCTTTACATTTTGATGCAAGTTGTTTCGACAAATCTAACAAACAATTAATAAAACCAAGCACTAGGAAAAGATATAAAAAATAAGAATATACTAATAAAATATATAGTTTGTAACTAACTTTCAAAATTTTGATAATTTAAAAAATATATATTATAAAACATTTATTTTTGTAAACAAATGATAATAGTTTAAAAGATTTATGGCTTTGCACATGTGGCTCCGAGAATGAGCCATAATATTAAAGTAATGGTTCATTTGATAATATATTCTTAAAAAAATTTATGCTAGATATCTCAAAACGCAACAAATCGTAAATAATACAATTCCCAAAACATTTCAACAGAATACTCTAGAACTTTGTTTTGCTTAATCAGCGTATTTTTTGAACCAATAGAATTAGTTTGTTCATAAATTTGGCAAGTTTTTAGTGTTTGCGAATATTCTTTTTATTCTTCTGCAAGATGTTTTAAGAACATTCAAGTTAATTACGTTTCCATGTATGTCCATAAAATAAAAATTAATATATATTAATTTTTTAATTATTAAGCTCCTGCCATAATATATATTGGATGGTATAATAATGGAAATATAAATAATGAAAAAAGATTACCTCAATACCAAAAATACATTTTTGAAAATCAGAGAAAAAATGCGTTAATAATTTTTTTTAAATATTTACAAAGTAAAGTAATAAAAGTGCATTATTATTTAGGTTAAAAATTATTTTATCTAATATTTTGAAAGAAAAACTTATAACAAAAGAAATCAAAATACATGTGGTCTAGACGATAAATTAAAATAATTTGCATAAATAATATTTTGTTTTTAATTTTTTTACAAACACATTTTAGAACTTTAAAATGTAATAAAAATGATTATGATTTTGAAATTGCATGTAAAAAATAATAATCGGGGTTTTAAACAAACAAACAAAAAAAATGACGTCATGTACTAAAACTTCTATGAATTAAACGCACTTGAATAAATTATCAAGTCTGTATAATGCGCCTAGAAAATCGTGTTTATTTTACAGACTCCAAATACCGCAGAAAATGGAGAAGACAAGCTTTGACTAAAATAACAAGATTTGTTTTTCTTGGTATACATTTATTAATTAGTTTTAATCAAAAAAAATTTGCTCAGACGTTTTTTTTTTAACATTCTCTTTAATATGAACACAACATGTCTCGGTACATGGTAGTCCCTTTAGCTGAAGATGCTTATAAATAAGAGTTTTTATCAATTCTGTAGCATTCAATCATTCATGTCTTTAAAAGAAGTTTTGTCTATATAACAGGATTTACATCCTGTACAAACAAATTTGTAAACAACACATGATTTAAAATTTACAGGAAAGTGATCTTTTGATGAAAAATAGTTTGACAATGAAGTTGATACCAATCTTATGGTAGCCGACTTATCTCTTGATTAATGCTTTATCTCTTGATAATTGCTTGTAATCTTTGCTTCGTTAGTTCAGATATTTGACCAATAAAAGAGAGTTTAAAATTGTAAGATTCTGTGTATTTTTCTATTATCCAAAATGGGTACATATTACATTTGAGAATTTTAAAAAGATTGTTAATATAATAATGAAGACAAAAGATAGTATTGTTAATTTTGAAAGTTCTATCAGTTAAACATTTTATAAGACTTAATTTATATGAAAATGAAGTAAAGCTGTAAAAGTTGGTGTATAGTTCAGTAAAGGTTTTTTTATGAAAAACTGTTGTCATTGTTGAACTGTTTGACTTACATAGAGTTATATTCAGAAAATATATTTTAGAGTTTTCTTTTTTTTCCATGGTAAAAGATATTGAAGAATGTTTTTTGTTAATGTAATCCAAGAATAAAGTTGTGTAGTTTTTTGAGGAGAAAGCAGCAAAAATCTACATAACATTTGTAAAACAACAGTTTTACTCCATTATAAGATTTGACCCATTTTTCTTCAAAATTACCCATAAGCAGATTAGCAGGTACAGATGCTAATGGAGAACCCATAGCAATACCATCAATTTAGCCATAAACTTGTCCTTTAAAATGAAAATGTTTGTGCTGTTGCAAAAAGAAAGAAATTTTCTAAATTACTTTATTTGATTTTAAGATTTTTATTGTTTTTTATGATAACATCAACAGCAATATTTATTGTTTCTTGTAATGCCATGTTTGAAAGAATCTTTAGTACAAAATTCAGACAGTATTAATGGAGGTAATAAATCTTGAAGAAATCTAGCTAAATGATTGTCATATAGGCCAATAGGTTATACAATTTTGAAAGTTGAAAACAGATATCCTGATCAAAAGACAATAATTTATGAATTTTCAGAAGACTGTAAATGCAAGCACGACGAGGGCCTGTAGGATTTGAATCATCAAAGAAACCTTGACTTTTGAGTTTCCTTAGGAAGTTTTGAAGTTGCAATTCCTATTCATGGTGACGTCTTTTTTTAAGTGTTTAAATTAGGTTGGATCATTAATATTGTTAATCCTGTTGTCATAAGCCTTCCTATCCAATATAACAACACCATTTCCTTTATATGGTTTTAAAATGACAATACCTGGATTATTACTTAGTTTTATAAAATGCCATGCTTTTTTAAAGTTTCTTTAATGGTTGTTGGTTATATATATATATGAATTGGTGAGATAAGATAGTTTACCAGGATCATCATTCATTTTAAAATTATTTTGAAGCAATTGATTGAGTTCAAAAGAAGAGTATACATTTGAGCATCTATGATGTTTAGGTGAAATTGAGAAATTTAAATCATTTATAAGGATGACAAGTCAGTCGTCATCTGAAAGTTTATATGAAGAATAATTTGTGATAATATCAGAAGCATTTAATGGAGTCATTTTGCCATTTGTTAAACTTTTTAATTTTTTTGTGTGAGTTTTTGTAAGTTTTTTCATTACTTTTTTGGTATTACAATTCAAAGCTTTGATCAAAATGAACCAATCTATTGAAGATAAATTCACTTTGAAGTTTATTGTGTCAATAAAAAAATTGAATTAAAAAGTAAAAAAAGTATTCATGTAGGGCGGAAAAAAACTGATATAAATAATGAAAACTGATATAAATAATGAAAACTGATATAAATAAACAAATCGTGTTAAAATGACTCTTACCATTTAAAATAATTTACTGGTTCTTTTGTTATATTTGACATTTGTTAAAATAATTTTTAATAATTCTTTTTGTATATATAGGAAGTTTGTTATCAATTTTATGGCTTTTATTATGTTTCTTTGATATATAACATTATTATATTATGCATGTATGTATGTATGTGTGTATATATATATATATATATATATATATATATATATATATATATATATATATATATATATTATATATATATATATATATATATATGTTATACATACTAATGTTTAGAAACTATTTAATCTTATAATAAGTTTTTGATGGTTAGAAAGTATAATATATAACACAAATACAAATAACTTGTAATAATAAAAACACATAAAGATGATATCTAATATAATAATATTACAATAAATATTTTTGTATATTATAATCTAGTTTTAACATTTGTTTTGTAAAATATTACTAAATTATGTCATAAATTATAACTACATTATGTTTAACATAATAAAAATTTTAAATGTTCATTTACTATTTATTAAATAATAATAAAATCTATGATAGTATTGCTTTAAGAGAAACTTTTCAAATTTGTTTTATATTTTTAATTGCCTTATTTAGAAACTGTTAGGCAAAGAAGAAATTTTTCAATTGTTTGCTACTTTTTATGAAGCCAGTATGTTACCAAAGAAATTAGGGGACAGCCCAGTTCAATTTGAAATTGTGATTGGTAATTTTTATTTTTCCTAATATTATACATATATATATATATATACATATATATATATATATATATATATATATATATATATATATATATATATATATATATATATATATATATATATATATATATATATATATATATATATATATATATATATATATATACTTGTTTCCTTGAATATGTAATTCAAGGAAAATTTTATAATTTATATAAAAAAAAAATTTTTAATTTTTAGATTTGAACAAAATAAGTTTTTGCTTGTATTCAGTTTCCAAAATAATTATTTTTTGGTTTTAATTGATAATTTTTATATTTTATTTATTTGATTTAAGTTCAACAATAATATTATTTAATAAACATTATAATGTAAGTTCTTTAGTTTACCACTTTAAAACTATTCAGGCAACAATATAGTTTTATATATTTTAAAGTTATGGAATAGTTAGTATATATGTAATAGTTATGGAGTACTAAAAAATCACATAATACACACCCCACGTGATTGAATAAATAATTGTGTTGGGGTTTATTAGTTTTAACAGAAATTAATTTTTGGTTAAATTATTTTCTAAATTCAATCCTAATTTTAAAATTTTTTAAATCTGATATGATATTTTTAGGTGAGTATGGTTTTTTAATGAAGGACTTAGTTGAAAAGAAAAAAAAAGACCAAAGCGAAGATGATGATAAACTTTACTCAGAAAGTAAAGCTTTTGTTCAATCTGTTACTGCACCAGTTAAGCCTTTAGCACCAGAGAAGATATATTATTATGTGCCCTTTGGTAGTGATAAACCATGTACACACATTAAATTTCCATTTGAAGACCAAAGAAGAAGACATTACAATTTCTCTATTTTAAAGAAAATATATAGCATACTGGTAAAGTTTTGTGATAAATTTTTAGTTGATTATTCACACAAAAACAATAATTCATATATTTAAAATGAGTTATAAAGTTTCTAATAAAATTTAAAAAAATTTATGGCAATCAGTATTTTTAGACATTTTAAGTTAGGTTTCTTTGAGAATTTAAGAAATTATTTTATGTTTAGTTTAGGAACAACCCATAAAAAATATTTGACTATGGATTTAAAATTTTGCTCTTGATATTGTAGACATTTTTTTCATTTATTGTTAGATGAAACAGTAGTTTTCAAAAAACAAGGCAGCTAACAAGTTAACATTCTAAATTTAGAAATTATGATAGTTGTTTTAGATAAATTTATTTACTACCACTCTGGCTGTCTTACTGTACTTACAACCACTCTGGAATGCGCTTACCACCTGATAAGTTTTAATTTCAATTTAGCAAATAAAATTATTCCAGCTGAAAACCAGTTAAAGCATTAAAGTTTTTTTAAAAGAAGAGAAAATTAGATTTAGTATTGGTGATATGTACTTGCAAAAACATGTTCAATATGGTGGTAAGTTTTTAAAGATGAGAATGGAGAATTTTATTCAGGAGTTATTTTAATGTTAGTTGATATTAAACATATACTTTTTTTTGTTAAACACTGAAATAAGTATTTTTGGATATTGATAAAGACTCTTTAACATCTCTTTTAAAATTTACACTATCATCACAGACAACCATTAAACCAAATAAACTTTTACACTATCATCACAGACAACCATTAAACCAAATAAACTTTTACACTATCATCACAGACAACCATTAAACCAAATAAACTTTTACACTATCATCACAGACAACCATTAAACCAAATAAACTTTTACACTATCATCGCAGACAACCATTAAACCAAATAAACTTTTACACTATCATCACAGACAACCATTAAACCAAATAAACTTTTACACTATCATCACAGACAACCATTAAACCAAATAAACTTTTACACTATCATCACAGACAACCATTAAACCAAATAAACTTTTACACTATCATCACAGACAACCATTAAACCAAATAAACTTTTACACTATCATCACAGACAACCATTAAACCAAATTTTTACAAAACTCAAATGACTACTTTATAAAGAATTATTTTTTTAATTTTGGACAAAATAAAATGCTAAATGTTGCAAATTTCAGCTCAGACATCAATTGCACTAATTATCACATTAAAAGGAATCTTAATTAAATGGTTTATTATCAGGAATATAAAATTTCATTTTAACAGATTTCAAACCAATCTTTTTAAAAATCATTTTGGAAATCTTTACTTTAAAAAGTTTACTTGAATTTCTTTTTGCTTTATCAGCAATAGACTTCATTAATTTTAATTGTGTATTTTTTTTTTTTTTTTTTAACAAACATTTTCATTATATTTAAATTATTATTACATCAGTTTGAAGGTTTTAAAGCAGTTTCATATTCTTCTTTCTTACATACATATTTTTATTGGTTCTTATTGATTCAACTCACAGTTTAAAACATAATTTGTTGATTTTGTTGTCTATTAGCTTTTGGTATATATGAGCTACAAGCTGAATGACATTGAGTCAAAAAGGTTTTATAACAATTGATAATTCATTTTTTCAAAAAACAATATGTTTTAATATATATCATGTATTGATTAAATTTTAGTAAAATCAGTTTAAAAATTAACTCTCATGTAGTTTAACTATTGTTTTCCTATCAAATTTTATTTGCAAATTAAATTAAAACTTATCAAATAGGAGTAAATAAATTTATTTGAAACTCTGTTGTCATTATATTTTCTAAACTTAGAATATTAGCCATACATTTGCAGAATTTTGAGTTTGCTGAAACATTTGTTTAAAAAAGAAGTTTCCTAAACAAGTTAAAATTTTTTTTTACTCATTTTGTCATTTTTTATCTTCACTAGATATATATATATATATGTATATATATATATATCTAGTGAAGATAAAAAATATATATATACATATATATATATATATATATATATATATATATATATATATATATATATATATATATATATATATATATATATATATATATATATATATATATATATATATATATATATATATATATTTACTATAGCGTATTTAGATAAGCATATGTTGACTAGTTTTGCTTATCTTTATAGCATACAGCATTTTCGGAAAAAAACAAAGAATAATGAAAGAATGATGATTGCTGCCAAACCCCAAACCTTAGTCAATAAAGTGACACTCCTTTGCGGCAGCAGGCTATAAGATAGTCGATGTATGTACTGAATCCCCCAGCAACAGGCTATTTTCGTGTGGTGTCACAGTATTGATCTAAACACACATTTATAGTTGGACACACACACAGGTGTATATATATATATGTATATATATGTGTGTGTGTATGTATGTATATATATATGTATATATATGTGTGTGTGTATGTATGTATAATTTACATTTTAAATCGGCTAAAAAAAAGTTTATTATGTGATGCGGCTTTGTTTTTATAATCTTTTTAAGAATTAAATTCAAACTTTGTTATTTAGATTTATAATATATTTTGCAAATGTATATTTTTTACTATTTAATATTTTGTAAACAAGATCATTAAAAATTTATTACATCCTCAATGTTTTATGCTTATCTACTGCTAATTCCATGGGTTGCATGTTGTCATGCTATTTAAATTATGATAGTACTTGGTGAAGTAGCTTAAGATGATACGTTTTTAGACGCTCAAGATGAGATGTGACTTTTTATTAAGAAAAGCGCATATTTTTAAAGTTATTCTCCACAGAGCTTTATTTTGATATTTCAAGAGCAAAAGTTTTTCAAGGAATAGTATCATTAAATTTTTTAGAGATAGGAAAGGTTTATTGTTTTTTTTATGGTTAAGATAATTACTTTTTATTTAAGTATAGTTTTTGAAGATACAGTTTTATTTAATTTTTTTTTTATGATTATTTTTTTGTTATTTTGAGTTTTTTTGAGTTCCATTACAAAAAGCTCATTATAGGAAACTGGTTTCCTAAGATTAGATGTTTGGGTGTGTTAAAAATAACGGAATTTTCAGAATGATGATTTTTTTTAATGAACTATAGTAGTGGCCATTAAATTAAGGCACCTTACAGTTTTTGGATAAATTTAGTATAACTTTGAATGTGCCTCTTAAATACGCAAAGTACTATATGTCAATGTCATTAAATGAATCAAATTAAAAATTTTCACATATCTTTGTTTAAAAGACGTCATCAAAGCTAATTAAAGTTCTTTTTTTAAAGTAATAGTAAATAAATTAAATTAAGTAAATATGGTTAAAAAGGCAGATTTGAGTGATTTTGTTAAAGGTCAAGTCATAACTTTGCATGGTGAAGGGTACTCACAAGTTTTCATTAGTAAACATCTAGAAATATCGAGATGCGCTTTACAAAACGTTATAAAATTGCATGGGAGTTCTAGACATCAAAATTACCACGGTGTTCGCAAAACTACACCCTGTGATGATCGATACCTGAAAAGTATTGTGCAAGCCTGTCCTCACACTTCCTCTTCCCGAGTTACCCAATTGGCCATGGAAAGAGGCATTAATATTAGTGCCAGAAATGTTCGCAGATGTCTGTCTACAGAATTTAAACTGCATGCGCGTAGACCAGCAAAGAAGCCATTTCTCACCAAGAAGCTGCTTCAGGCACCTGTGAAATTCTGTCATGATATGAAGTACAAAACTGCTGAGTGGTGGACTACTGTGATGTTTACTAATGAAAGTACTTTCCAGCAGCTTTGTGGTTCAGGGTACAATTATGTTTGTCAACCGGTAGGTGAAAGACTCAACCCTAAATACAATCTGAAGACTGTTAAACATCCGCCATCTGTTATGGTGTGGGGAGCTATCTCAGCTAAGGGTAGATGCGGAATTCACATCTTCAGTAAGATCGAAAAGGTCAATTGCTGCAAAGTATATACAGGTTTTAGAGTAAGGTTAAGACACATGTGAACATTTCTGAAACTACCATCTTTCAACAAGACTCAGCACCGTGTCATACTGCAAAATCAGTCAAAAAGTGGTTTCATGACAACAACGTGCAACTTTTGAAAAACTGGCCCTCAAATTTGCCTGATTTGAATGTTATTGAAAATTGTTGGAACTAATGAAAGCTAAAGTATCAGCACATTGTCCAATGTCAGAGGAACATTTAAAAGATGTATTGAAGCAGGTGTGGGTAAATGAAATTACCCCAGAGTACTGTGAAAAGCTTGTAAAAAGTATGCCTTCTCGTATACAGGCTGTATTGAAAAATTGTGGTTACCCTACGAAATACTAAGATTTTGAGACTTTTTGTTGATGAATTTTAAAAGTAATGCTGCTATATATGTTTTAGAACATTTTATTTCATTTTATTAGTACATATAATACAAGTTCATGAAAGAGAAACTGGACTTGCTCAATTAAAACTGCAATTCTGCTAGGTGCCTTAATTTAATGGCCACTACTGTATTCATTAATATTCTTTAAGGAGAAAGATTTAAATTATGATAATCTGCAAAAATAAATATAAATTATAATATTTTGGCTGCAAAAAAACAATATCTGTTAACATGCTCAACATACCAACCTATGTGTATATATATATATATATATATATATATATATATATATATATATATATATATATATATATATATATATATATATATATATATGTATATATATATATATATATATATATATATATATATATATATATATATATATATATATATATATATATATATATATATATATATATGTACATATATATATATATATATATATATATATATATATATATATATATATATATATATATATATATATATATATATATATATATATATATATGTATGTATATATATATATATATATATATATATATATATATATATATATATACATATACAAATCTTCATTTAAATTTGAAATGTAATGATATATTAATGTTTAATAATGAATTAAAAGTTTCTAAAATTACATAACTAAAATGCCTTAAATAAATTTATATATTTTTAAAAAAATATTTCAAAATTTTTTTTTAAGGAAGATAACTTAGAAGAACTTGATGAAAGAGTTCGTCTTGAAGTTCCAAAAACCAACATTGCATTGAAAAATGTTATGGGTGATTTAGTTCACCATTGCAGGTAAAAGTGAGTTAATTTTTTGATATACTTACATGCTTTGATTAAAATCTTTGTTCATTAGAATTTTATGTATTTTTTTAAAGCATGTATATTGACCTTGCGGATGGCAAAAGGACTGGTACACATCTTGGGAAAAACAAGTTAGACCAAGAAAGAACTTCAATGACTATTCTAGAAATAGTAAAATTTTATTTATAAATTTCATATCCATTCAGTGGCATTAATTAGATATGTATGTGTGTGTGTGTATATATATATATATATATATATATATATATATATATATATATATATATATATATATATATATATATATATATATATATATATATATATATATATATATATATATATATATATATATATATATATACAGAGCCAAATTTACAGTTTTAGGGGCCCTAGGCCGAAAAAAACCTATGGTTATTCATGTGATTATAACAATAAGATCTATAACTTTGAACCGTTTATTTTTACTAATGCTTTTGAAATAACTCATGGAATTGACAGTCATTTGTTGTTGTTTTTTGATGGTCAAAATTTTTAATTTTTTTCTTTGTTTAAGTTTTCCTATTTTTATATTATTTATGTTTTTATAAATATTTTCTATTTTATTATTTTTATTATTTATGTTTTTATAAATATTTTCTATTTTATTATTTTTATTATTTATGTTTTTATAAATATTTTCTATTTTATTATTTTTATTATTTATGTTTTTATAAATATTTTCTATATCTATAAATATAATAATAAAATAAGTACTCTGATCATTCAAGAAAAAGAAGTTTTTAACTACCAAAAAAAAAAGTGTTTAAAAATTGAACTCTCAACCCTTTATTGTGTTCCTCATAACTAAAAAATAAACTGTGCAATAAATTATGATATTTTGAGTAACTAGGGGTTATTTTGAGTAACTAGGGGTTATTTTGAGTAACTTGGGGTTACTCAATCAACTTGATATTATCAGATTTTAAAGCCAATGGAAAATAAAAACAAATGTATTTTAATTTTTTTTTTGGATGCAACGTTTTAATTTTTTTATTCAAATTTAATATTTAGTTTAAACATATTTTAATAGAAATTGTTCACTTGTTTTTATTTGTTGACTGTTCACTAATGCCTTTACAATGTTTGACTTTTGCATATCTAGAATTCGACATTGATGTTCCTCCACAGTTTGTAAAACATTGCAATTGAGTTTCAACTTTTATCAAGATTTTTATATAATCTGAAACAAGTTTCAACCCTCTTTTGGCTGTGTCATTCACAACTTTCATAGAATAAATAAATTTGTATGCTTTTAAAGAAATACTAGTATTATTAATTGCATAAAAACCAACATTATTTTCATAATAATATTTTTATTTACTTACAATATTGTTCGTAATAAATGATGAATATTGTAAGTAAATAATAAATTACAAGCAACAATAAAATAAAAAAGTGACTTTAATTTATAATAATAATTTAAAAGCTACTTTAGTTTACCAATTGCATTGTTTTTTTGTTGTTGTTTTTTTTTTTCTATTGAAAATAAGAGCATTACTTGTTGCTGTAGTGTGAACAATAGTTTAATATCTTTTATCTAGAAAAATATTTCCCTTCAAGCAGCAGATATTGCACTTTGTTGCATATCTTCAGAAAATATCAAAGCTCAAGTTGAAAGAGCACACGCATTAATGCGACTCCTGCGTAAAGTTGTAAGAGAGGTATGTTCTTATCTCAAAGATTTTATTACTTTTATAAAAAAAAAAATTTTTTTATACTTTCATAAAAAAAAAATTTTAATACTTTCATAAAAAAAAAGATTTTTAATACTTTTATAAAAAAAAAATTTTAATACTTTTATGTAAATATTCTAGGTTAGGTAGCTAGTACTTTCATAGAAATATTTTAGCTAGAGTTAAAAAGATATGTTTACTTTGATTTTTAGATTTTTCACTTTATTTTTATGATTTTAGCCTCAACATGGACTTCCTGATGTATTTGTGTGGATGATACGGAGTGGCAAGCGAGTTGCTTATACTAGAATACCTGCAGAAGACATTTTGTATTCAAAAGTGGATGCTGAAAAAGGAAGAAGTTGTGGAAGAGTGCAAACAATATTTTTAAGGGTATTTTTAAGTTTTGTATTAACTATTTGACAATGTAAAATAATGTTAAATTATTGAAAAATAATACAATAACTTAAAAGGTTATTAAATAATTTATACACTTTTGGATATTATTTTTCTCCATGTCTATGTAAATAAAGTATTCAGGTAGAGCCATTAGAATTGATCAAAAATTTGATTTTTAACAATTAAAAACACTTTAAAACAATTAAAGAATCTTAAAAAAGCATAGAAAAAAATAGACAAAAATAGAGATTAATAATTGTTGATTTTAATTGTTATTATTTTTGTTTGTTTGATATTGTAAAAGTTCAATTTTAACCTAAGTAGATATGCAATTTTAAAAAATTAATTATATTACAATGCAAGTGTAACTAAATAATCTAATAACTTGTTATTACATAAAAAGTAACTTGATATGACATAAAAAGTAACTTGTTATGACATAAAAATGTAATATATGTAATGGCATTTATATAAAAAAATTTGTAATGTTTGTTAAAGCTTCCTGGAAAAATGGGTCATGGTGAAAATGGATGGGCTATTCAAGCAAAGATTGAAGTTCGATTTTGGTTAGGGTTGATGAAACATAAAACAGATTATTTGAAAGATGCTCCTCCTGGTTTTGAACAAGTATGTATGTTTATAAACTGATAGACTTTTTAAAAGTATTTATTTTGATCAGAGAAAATAAATCATTTCCAATATACTTTTGTGAAATTTTGTATTTATGAATTACACTTAATTTTTTTTTTTTTAATCATAAGGAAGACGATTGTTTATCAGTATTAGCAACACCTCCTTCTTACCTAAGATATACAAGTATGTTTTTCTATTTTTATGTCTGTGCATGTGTATGTGCTGTTATTTATATAGATAAAATTAACAAACAAAAACAAAATAGTTCAACCATATTTTCCAAATTCATATAAAAAGTTAAATAAAAATTTATATAGAAAATAAGTTGAATAAAAATTTATATAGAAAATAAGTTGAATAAAAATTCATATAGAAAATAATTTAAAACCTCAAAAAAAGTAATTAACTTATCTTGATCTGTAACAAAAAAATCCCCATATACAAATTTTGTTTAAAAAAAACAACAGGTTTAAATGATTATTCAAAAGCGTAGTCACTGTCTACTTCAATTACTGCTTCCTATTTGCTTTGCAGGTGGTCAATTCTATGAGCAAAGAAGACATGATTTTTAGAAGCAATCCACACTTTGATATTAGCCATCAAGTCATCCAAATAATTTAAAATCTTATTCATTTACCAGTTTTTCAAAGAGCAGTTGACATGGTACTCCGTAGGTGTTTCAGTTCGTGAATATGGCAGATATGTAAGCAGATCAAAGTTTTATTTGGCAATAAATTTGACAATGCAGCCCTTAACATGAGTGCATTATTGTGGTGGAAGACAATATGGTTCTTTTTGTACTGTCTTTTTGCCTCGATAGTAAACGACCGGGGCTGGCATTTGACCTGAGTTAAAGTAGGGTTTATGACTAAGGCTGTATAGATATTAATGCATACTGATATATATATAAAAAAAAAGTCAATATGCACCAACATTTATGCAATCCTGTCCGTAGAACTGGCCTTGGCCACGGTCAAAAACCAGCCCCGATCGTTTACTATGTCTCGATTGCATAGTGAAAGTGATCAGACTGAGCCAAGTAGGTGTTGCTGCTGATGTTGAACTGCCGCTTTCTGTTTTTGTCCAAGATTTGACATTGTTGTTGTTCATCTATGTTGTTTAACTAATAACAAATGCATAACCTCCCAATGGATGATTTGGCTTCTGTCCCACCACACACACCACGTTGCCTTTTTACAGTGGACATGTATTGATATTCTTTTGGGGGAAACATAACATGAACATTAAGAACATTGAGAACTCTAATTTGTAGAATCGGCTAACTCGATTTTTTTTTAATCTTGACTGTTTTATTTGGTCACTTGAAATAGTCTAATTAATTACTATTAAGAATCTCCAGCTTTGTTGAACCTCGGTTAACTTAATCTTTGTTTCCGATAAGTCTAACCATTATTTAGCTTCTTTCACCAAATTTTTTTGGTGAACTCAAATTATATATATATGTATATATATATATGTGTGTGTGTGTGTGTGTGTGTGTTTGTGTGTATATATGTGTATATATATATATCAGGGGCTATTCTAGACCGTTTTCGACAGCGCCGACCGTATTTGGGCGCCGATTTGGGCGCCGCCCAAATTCAGGTAATTGAAGACCTTTTTTTAAATTTATTTAACATATATGTAAATATTTATAAATATGATAGAGAAATATATATATATATATATATATTTATTTGGCATTAATTTTGAATAGATCCGTTGTCTTGCAGCCGTTATATAAAAATAAGTTATTAATAATTCTTTTTCCGGCCAATAAATCGTTTTCCGGCCATTTTGAAATCATCTATATCAGAGTTTAGATGCGCGCGAAGTGAAATTTTTAATTTTTAATTAATTTTTTAAGGCATTCTTTAATTTTGAATTTTATCTTCTAAAATAACGATTGTCACAATTTAATCTGGTGAAACACGTATTAATTTATGGTTTTTTATTTTGAAGAGACTTGGACAAAACTTTTTAATTTAGCGCGTATATTCACCGGACCACCAGTACCATTGTTTTTAAAGTTCGTACATTAGTAAACGCATTTAGGTTGATTAAAGTAGTAATGTTTTTTTATTTAGCTTATATTTATTTGTTTAAATTTTTGGCAAAAATATGGCAATAATTATTTTAAAGATTTTTTTTTATTAACTACATCAACAGCAGTTTCATACAATAATTATTTTATACATGGAAGTTATACATATAAGTTATGGACTCAATGAGATTAGTAAGTTTGTTGCAGTAAATATGTGGGTTTTTTCCCCCATAAACATTTGCAATCTAGTAAATTTAAGGTAATTTGGCTATTTGTTAATTTATTTTTATTTCAGTGAAACTTCTGTCCAATATTTATTTTTAGGTAGCAACTTCCTTATAAAATTTATGTAACAGATCATTTTAACAGGAATGAATTATAGTGAATTATTTCAAATACATTTAAACATAATAATAAAGCTAAAAACTAACTAAATTTTTGTTTATCTAAAAACAAAAGTTTTGAAATTTTCTAAACATGTTTCGGCTCCCCCCCCCCCCCCATTACTTAAATTTTAAGAGGGGGAGTGAGGCAGAGGGGTACCGCCGCCCAAATTATTTTCCTAGAATAGCCCTTGTATATGTATGTATATATGTATGTATGTATAAAGACTTCTTTATGGGACCATTCAGACCATTTTAGCTTGGTGTTTATATAAATTCCAAGTCTTCTATCAATAAAGACCTTCTCTAATTGAATACAATTACCAGCAGTGTCCACCATGTGAAGAGAGTCATTAAAATTTAATGATCTGCTGCAAAACTTCAAACTTGCTGATACTGAAATCCATACCCCACAGTTTAGACCATTTAATGAATCAATGTCAGCTTGGACATGGACAAAATTAAGAACATCTTTTAATTTGACAACTAGTTGACTACCAACAGTGACAATTTACAACCACCACCATATTTATTCACCATATTCCACCAGTTTTAGACATATTATTAATAAAAATTAGAAGCAAAGTGGTCCAATAACAAAGCCTTGTGCTACACCACTAAACACATCAATCCAATCTGATTAATTTGAATTTCTTTTCTTACACTAAACCATTACAATTTCTTTTACTGACTGCCCAGATATTATTTAATATCACATATAAGATCATTTTTATTGAGGTCACCAACAACAAGTATACAGGTGTATATTCCATCATCAACTAATGTTTTAGCATTTGGTAACATAAACTTATTAGTTTGAATATTAGACCCAAACTGTGTCTGAAGATGGCAATAAATATACCCCACAAAGAGACGATCACGCCCTGCAATAATCTTGTGCCAAATTTGCTCATCTAGTTGTTGATGATTGACTGCTCTATAATCAACAGCTGGATAACATTAATACTTTAATTCAGTCCTCAAAACTAGTGATGTCACGAATATTCGGTGACTTAATAAAAAGGGTAATCGTTTATTCATCTTTCCCATTTAGGTTAAACCATGCTTTAAGTTCAGGTTGTTGTAAAAATAACGTTTTTAAATAAGTTTAGAGTTTTTTATGCTAATTCAATCTATAGAATATTTTGAAATTACCTCAGAAGTGCAAGATCTACATGAGCTAGTTATTTTTGAACTTTTCTGAATGGTTTGAAAAGTATGAAACTTTTATGTATAACTGTAGTTAAAACATTTGGTGTATCAATCAACAAAAAATGCATGCTGTGACACAACCTATTTATAAATGCCCATAGAGTAGTTGACATATGCAATATAACAAAGCAGGTCGGAGCCCTCAAAATAATTAAGTGTTGCCGAATTTTCGACCAAATATTCGTGGCATCTCTACTCAAAACTCAAAGAATTTCATTTTGGCGCTTAACAGCAGTCAAGTTTTAAGCTAAAATTGATTGCAGAGACAAAGAAAAATTTGCACAGTATGAAATTGTAGTTATATGTAAATAAATGATCCAACATTTGTAACAAAAAAGTGGTAGGGAACAAATTTAAAAATAATATTTACATAATATTTAGAATAGTTGTTTTTTCATATTATAGAGAATTATTTCATTGTTTTCATGTTTTTTCATTAACATAAGAACAACAGATAATTTGAAAATGTTTTATTAAAATTAATTTTTATTAATAACTTTACTAAGATAAATGAATCAATGGTTGTTATGACTGCTTTTTTTTTTTTTTTTCACTATAAGAAAACTTATGTTTTTAATAAATTGTATATGATTAATTTTTTTTTTTTTTTAGTTTCTCTGCCTATAATAAAACTAGTAATTATACAATCACTTTTGACATTAAATAGTTTATGATAATTTATTTTTGCATGCCAACACTTATTGATATTCAGGTTAGTGGCTTTACACAGTTGATTTTTCCGTTGACATTGTCAAATGTAAAAAAAAATTTAACAATATCAATTTTCCAGGTCAAAAATGTTTTCATTGCAAATTTTTTTTAACTTGAATTTCGCTACATTCTGTGATTCAGGCTTCTGTATCTTTTGATCAGCTTCACGCTCCTTCTTCATCTATTAGGCTGGCGTAGATGTATTTATAATACATTATTTCCAGTTTAGGATGTTGATTGTTGGATCTTCTTGACTCATTGCATGTGTTTTGCTTGTATCTCTATTTTTATGACAAGGTAACTTATTCTATAATCTCCTAATGATGGTACAGCTCTAAAAATCAGTTTTATAGTTCTAAGGCTGGCTGGTAGTCAGATTTTCTGAACTCTGTGGTAGCTCTCTTATTTTATCAACTGCTGTGAAATATCAGAGTACTAACAGTGCCATGTTGTGCATGGATGGCGCCTCTGTTCATACTTTTGGTGTGTTTTATTGGGGCCACATTTGGAGCTCTTTTTCACTGATTTGGGTTTATTAATAGTAATAAGGCAGTTGTTTATACTATTAGATAGTGTACTGAGTACTATCTGTGCTTTGAGTCAAGTTCTTAAACCAATTTAAAAAATGACTAAAGTATCAAAAATTATAAAACACAAAAAACCATTTTCATCACCATGTTCTATAAATATATCATTCACAAATACTCATGGTGTTCGAAGTAACTTTTCTTTTCTTGAGTTTAATCTCTTGCAAAGTTCACCAGACCTAATTGCTCTTTGTGAGACTAATTTGAGTTTAGCTGTCTTGCATTGTTATCTTAGTGTTGATGGTTATCTTCTTTTAATTTATTAAAACTCCAATAGTCACATGTTTGGCCTGGGCATTTACAACTGTAAGAACTTACTTATTTGTCGGGAAACTATGTTTCAATTCATTTACTATTCTTTTATGTGCTTTTGGTTAGCTCCTCTTCACTCTATCACATTATTCTTTATTCTATAGTGCTCTCCTTTATCTGAAGACTGCTCTCTAATCTTCTTTATCTCAAAGTTGCACTGAATGACTTCGCTCTAGTGTCAGTAACTTTGCAGGTGTTAAGGCCCACAACTTTTGTGGCATGCTTTTCTCAATCTCTAACATAAATAGTCAACTTTCCAACTCGCTTTCTAGACAATCTGAATTGTTTACCTTCTATACTCGACTTGTGTCTTGTTTCTGTTCCTAGTCATTTTCTCCACATTCACCCTTCAGTGCTACTGATCACGGTTTGATCTCTCTAAAACTGTTATCTCATTATTTTTCTTCATTAGAATCCCCTATTATCGTATTTCTTACAACTACCTTGAAGCTGACTGGAACTCTTTTTGTAATTCTCTTTGTGATGGCGTTAAGTAAAAATCTTTTGTCTTGCTGCTGATAAATGTGCTTCTTAAGTAACTTCTTGGATTTAGGCTGGCATTGAATTCTTTATTCCCTCTTAACAAATCCAAGCCAAGCCTCGCTCTTGTTTGTGGTTTTCCTCTCATTGTGCTGCTACAATTTTCAATCTTAACTAATACTTTCATATCTATCACCAAAACAATTCTCTATAAATTATTTATTTCTATCAATAACTATTATAATAATTATTATTAAATATTTTTAATAAATACTATTGATAGAAACCACTGTAAAATGGTTTTGTCTAATGCCAAAGCCCGCTATTCTCAGGTCGAAAAATCTTGTATTTTATCTCAAAAAAGGACTCCAGAGTCTTTTAGAGAAAAATTAATTAGTGTCAAAAAATCTATAATAAGTGTCTATAATAAGGGCAAATCTGTTATTCCACCTTTCTTGCATGTTCCAGATTTTGTTATCTCACCTAAAGAAAAATCTGAATTGTTTGTTAAGAACTTTTCATCAATTGTATCTCTTGATTCCACTAATCACATCCTACCTGATATAGCCGACAAACAGGTTGATCCATTGCTTGACATTTGTTTCAATCCAGCTTCTGGATCTAAAGTGATTTCCTGCTTAGACTCTTTTACAGCTTGTGGTGTGGACAACATACCTGTTATATAGTCTTTCAGAAGTGTTCTCAAGCTGTTGTCTATAAGCGCTGTTGTCTATCCCTATTATCAAAAATTCTGGAGAGCAATCTGATTCATCTAACTATCATTATCATACCGTCGTTTTCCTATCATAAGTAAGGTTTTTTAGTGTTTAATTATTGAACGCTTAATGTCTCATTTTGAAACTTGCTTTCTGATTATTGATATAGTTTTTCATCTTCTCGTTCTACTGCTAATTTGTTAGCAATAATAACCAATAGGTTTTATCTTGCATTAGATAAATGTGGAGTTAAGGCTATCCCTCTCGATGTTTTTGAAGCATTTGATAAAGTTTAGCATGCTGGTCTTGGAAATGTTATACTTTTATCAAAGTATGATTAGCAAGTGATAAAGTTAAAACTAAATACTAAAATACCAAATCTTTTTCTTTCATTTGATTTTTATAAGTGAAATTAAAAGTTTAAACTATTAATTATTAATATTTTAATTTATTATTATAATAATTTTTTTAGAAAAAATAAATAATATATATTGTTTTTAAAAAAATGCTTACTTTTTTTTTGAGGACATTATTGTATTATACTTAAATCTCCTGCTTTTCATGTTTTATTGCTTTGATATATTAAGCAATATATTTTTTAGAAATGATAATAAGTAACAATTTATCTATGATTTACAATTATTGTAATACAATGAAAATAATTTTTGTACTGTAATTTATCTTAAAAATCAAAGATTCGTTATTCTTTATTATTATTTTTTTTAATATGAAAAAAGCATGTGGATTAGCGTATTAGGTCAGTAAAAAGAATATATTGAAAACGATTTAGAATAGCTTCTGATATATATATATATATATATATATATATATATATATATATATATATATATATATATAGAGAGAGAGAGAGAGAGAGAGAGAGAGAGAGAGATAAATAGTTAGATAGATATAGATATAGATACACACACACAGAGACACACACACAAATATCACAAATAATATGCCAAAATGACCTCCACAACTTTTCAAAGTTGCTTGTGTGTGACCTTTATTTATATTTCAATGGAGTTTACCCTTTTTTTCCTGTAGCATGAATGGGTGAACTTTTTTCATTAATAGAAAAATGTTTACCCACTCATGCTAAGGAAATGACTTTTGAGAAAAAAAATCAAAAGTCATCACCCTAGTATGTACAAAGCCCTGCAATAGTCTGTTTTAGCATGTCATCAATAAATTTGTATGCGCTGCCAAATACATGCACATACATACAATTTTTAAGACAATTAAATAAATTTAAAAGAATTACTATAATCAATTTTCTAAATTTATTAGTGAAAAGCTTATTTTAAAAACAATACATGTTTGCACTAAGTATCTTGTCTCCTTCATTTACTTTTTTATATAATAAACATGATTATGCCACCATTTTATTTTAGCCCTTAACCTTTTTTTTTTTTTTTAATTTTAAAGTTTTTAATATTTTATTTTACTATATTTTTTTAGTCACACTATAAAAATAATTTTATTTTGAACTAAATATTAAGTATAAATATTATTAGCATAATTACTTAATACTAATAATTTAAGCATAAATATATTTACATAATTACTTAATACTAATAAATAAAAAATTGGTCTTGATAATCTAATAAATTAAAAAATTGGGCGTAATAATTGTAATAGTATACATACATCTGTGTGTATACACACACATATATTTATTTGTGTGTATACATACACACACATATATGTACGTGAATATATACACACAAATAAATATATGTGTGTATATACATTCACACACTCATATATATACATTTATTTATTTTAGCCCATCATTTATTTTCTTTATAGAAAAACAGAAGTTTGTTGTTCGTGCTCATTTGTATCAAGCAAGAAGTTTAATTGGAAGTGATGATAGTGGTCTCTCGGGTAGGGTTTTTTGTTTTTTTTAGTTATCTTTTTTTTTTATACTATTATTCATATATTGATTATATATCTAAAGTAAAATAGTTTTTACTTTATTATTGTAAACACATTGTTACATTTTATATAAAAACTAAAATCTAAATATTGTGCTATTTTTATGCTTTTTAGTATCTTAATTATTCACATAATTAATATTTAATTTAATCACATAGATTATTTAACTCTGAATTTTTATAACACAATTAGCAATAGAATTTTTTCTTCTTAAGGAAAAAAAAAAACTAAGGTCGATTTCTGATTGTTCTTTTTTTGAACAGGATAAAGAGTTACATGAGTATAAAAGAAAATTTTTCCGAAGCAAAACTACGCATTATTGCGTGATTATTTTTCTTTTCCTGTTTTTATAGAAAAAAGAGCAGCTTTTTAACTTAATTTGCTGTCATTTTTTTTTTTTTTTTTACATTAATGAGTAGGTTGTTTTTAGTTTTTAAAGATAGTAAAATTGATGGCATATCTATATCATTAATCATGCAAAAACAAATACAAATTGATTTACACAAAATAGTCTATACATATTTATTGAACTTAAAAAAAAAATATTCATACTTATATAGTTATTCATTTTAAGTTTAAAATTCGAAAAAATTACTTGACTAAATTTAAGAAAGTTTTAATTCTCTCAAAATAAATACACAATGATTGCATATTGAAATATTAAAATGTTTATGAAAGAGCTAAAATTAAAAACTTTTATAAAATCTTAGTAATAATATTCTTTCAAAAACATTGAAAAATATTTTTTAAACTCTCTAAATCTGTTCTATATTGTTATTCAATGTTTGCTGTTGAAAATATATAGAATAAAATAACTTAATAACTTAAGAATAAATAACTTAAGAGTAATATTCCCAAGGTCGTGGTCAGTTTTAAACCTTTTGAGCAAAAATTAAATGCAAGTTTTGTGGTTTTTGTTTTTAAATGCAATTTTTTTTTTTGTTTATCTAGATGTATTTTGTCGATGCATTGTAACATATAAGTTTAAACAGACATATGTTGTGTGGGAGACACGCAGCCCAACATGGGATATGATGCTTAAATTTGATGACATTGAACTATGGGGAGAAATTGAAGAGTTTGCAGTAAATCCTCCGATTATTGTTCTTGAATTATTTGATCAAGATTTTGGAGTGAGAATTTTTTTTTTTAATTTTTAGAGTGAAGTGGGATAAGTGTATTGTGTATATTTAAAGTTTAACTTTAGTTTAATAATTGTGTGTGCATGGTTATATCAAGCTGATTAATATAGATAATGTTAAAAATTATTCAAAGTTATTATTTTAACTTTTAAATTTTAAACATTTAAAAAAAAAATTTTTAGAGATTAAAGATTAGAGTAATTTTAAAAATTTGTAAAAATCCAAAAAAATCTTTAGTCAATAAAATTTTCAATTTTGAAGGCCCTTAAGTTTTTGGAAAGTTAAAATCAGAAGTCCAAAAGTTCCAATAAAAATTTATACATTTTGTTGAATATTACTGTCAAAATAGAATCTAAATCTATACAAGCTTGCCTTAAATGATATTTTGCCTAGTCTTGCATTTGATAAATGTGAGCAAGGTGTCATAAATTCTAACTACAATTATTCAAAGTTATTATTTTAACTTTTAAATTTTACACATTTAAAAAAAAAAAATTTTAGAGATTAAAGATTAGAGTAATTTCTGAGAATTTTTGTTTATTTTAAAAATTTGTAAAAATCCAAAAAAATCTTTAGTCAATAAAATTTTCAATTTTGAAGGCCCTTAAGTTTTTGCAAAGTTAAAATCAGAAGTCCAAAAGTTCCAATAAAAATTTATACATTTTGTTGAATATTACTGTCAAAATAGAATCTAAATCTATGCAAGCTTGCCTTAAATGATATTTTGCCTAGTCTTGCATTTGATAAATGTGAGCAAGGTGTCATAAATTCTAACTACAACAGCACAGACAGATGAAAATATATCTAAGTTTACACTATCTTTCAGTTGCAGAAATATAATTGTAAATGCTGATTAGTTTGTTTAGATTAAGTTGCCATTGTTGTTTCTGATGAAGAAGAGGCAGCTTCTATAAAACAAATATTTTAATCTCACCCAACACTTTTCATCATTGCATAACCTAGATCAAAATTGCATAACCAATTCCCAGATTAAAATCATCCTGATCACTCTGGTAATATTTAATCTCGTACAAAGCTTCTCATTTCCTGTTACATTCTTTGATTTGCATTGCAAAAGCTAGGATAAGTTAACTCCAGCTATAAATTTTTTTTGTGCATCTTGGTTGAGTTTAAACTTATTCAATTTTATAAATTCAAAGTACACTCTTGTGTAGTATCAAGAGCTTTATATTTTCTCTGTGTCTATAAGCATGCATGGCTCGTTATGGTAATATGAGGCATAAGAAATGTCAAATGTAATCTTTCAGATTAGATATTCACTTTTACTTAATGACTGTTTATTATTATTACTATTATAGTCATTATTATTATTATCACTATTGTTATTATTATTATTATTATTATTATTATTATTATCTATTATTATTATTATTATTATTATTATTATTATTATTATTATTATTATTATTATTATTATTATTATTATTATACCTTTATTATATATTTTCACTTAAATTTTAAATTATTTTTGCATTAAAAGAAATTTTTGTTACATTTATACTCTTTGTGTCTGCATATGTTGATATATTTTATCAAGAAACAACTAATACTGTTTTTTACTATGGATTGTTGATATTGTTATGTTATTGTTACACTTTTACTAGATTTTGAGTATTTGCTATGAAATAAAAATTGTAATGATCTAATGCAGTAAAATAAGAAATGCAGTAAATGTGACACTGGCAGCACACTTATATATATTTTTAAGAAATATACTTTATAAGAATAAAGAATATACAGTACATTGTTTTTTAAATTTTTTTGAAAAACTGCAAAAATAACAAATTTGATAGATTTTTTTTTTTATATATATTTATATTTTTGTCATTTTTTTGCTTATACACCAGCTCAGAGTTTTGGTTTAAGCAATATTTTAATTTAAAAGTATATCTGAATCTACATGGTATGGTGAATCTCCATGATGGTTTTATAAATCTTTTGATTATTCTTTTGAGAGTTATATCCTTTGAACTTATATTCTTACTGCTTATTTCAGACCTAACACCTTTTCAATATATCTATTAATAATCTTTTTGCAAATGATATTTATCTTATACTCTCTGAACTATTTTATGTTTTAGTTGTTACCAGTTTTATCCCTGATATTTTAAAATTGCTTCTGTTATACTAATCCATAAAAAAGAACTTGACTGCAGAAGCTTAATTAGTAATTCAGACCAATTTCAGTATAATCAAATGTCACAAACGTTTAGAAAAACTATTATATCTTTCTTGTATTTACCGCTTTTTAAATATTTTTGAGTTCTTGTATCTTTGACAGTTTAGGATTTACTTAAAACATTCCCATGCTCTTAATAGTATTATTGAAATGACTTGTGGTACAATTGACTTTTCTGTGGTACAATTGACGTTTTTTTGCTTGTGGTATGTTCATTGATCTTTAGAAAGCTTTTGATACAGTTGACCACAACAATCAAATAAAATTTATTAGATTGATAAAAAAATTTGTAAATAAATTAAACTACTTGTTTTGTAAAAAAAAAAACTACTTGTTTTGTAAAAAAGTTAATCAAGATTTTCATTGTTTACCTTGCTGGTTAAATTGTAATCATATTTGCTTGAATACTAACAAAACTGAATTATTCAGAATACATTAGTTTTCTACCCCCACAAAAAAAGATTGATAACATAAAACTTAAGTATAACAGGAAAAAACTTATATCAATATATATAGGAGATCTTAGAAATCATCAGAATCATTTTATTAAAAAACATACCTAACAGCTTGTTTTGATTTTACACTATATTTCTATGCATGGCTTTTAGATTGATTTATTTCTCTTTGTTTTCTTCTTATCTTAGTTATTGTGTATGTTGCAACAAGTTTTTAGCACTTGATATATTTTTTGGTTTCGAGTTGATCAATAATACTCATGAAAGATTGAATGAGTTGGAGTAAGATTTTCTAATGTTTAAATTGTCAGAAAATAGTTGTTGTTTTTCATTGTTTTAAAAAATAAAATTTAAGACAAAATTTAGTTTAGAGATACTTGTTTTAAATAAGCTATTTATCTGATCAGTGCTTCTCAATTAGATTATGCTCAGTATACTTAAGCAAGTACTACTAAAATATTAAGCATGGTTTTGCTGTATAGTCTGAGTAAACAGTTGTAGTTAATTATTGAATTATATGATTGTTCTTCTAGCAAATATATGTGATCAACTAATGAGAAAGATTCTTTTTATGGAAAAGTAATTTTTTACCTGCCAAAGATACAGCAGCATTTTTCAAGCACCATTAGCAAGTAAAAAAATATTTGTGTCTTGCAATACAGTTAATGCACCTGCTTTGAGTTTGTAGCTAAATAGTGCTTCTAAATTTTTCTCAGATGACATTAATAAAACTTTTTGTTCAGAAAATGTTCTTATGAAATAAAAGTTTAAAAGTTAATACTAAACAGTAGTGACAAAAAATACGAACAATAGTAGCAATTAATTTTTGCTTCATAATATGGCAGCAACTTATGGCAAAACAGTATTATGTTGGTTTTATGTCTTTCTATAATAAATAACTAATAACTGTCAAATTTATAATAATCGATTCAAATACATATGTGATAAATTTAAATACTTTTTGTGACGAAAATTTAAAACAAATAAGAAACATTTGTTGTGCATAAATATGTTGCTCGAATTTAAAAAGTATAGAACTTCATTTTATTCGCTTTTTAGTAAATTTAAAAAGTTCTAAAATGTATTAATAAAATATCCTTTTAACAAAGTTTGAGTGTCAGATTATAATATCAAGTCAGCTATAAATGTGCAGAAAGTAAAAAAACTATAATTTTACTCTTGCCTACTCTTTACTAGATGATTTACTATTTTTGTTACTGATTAAATGGTTGCCTAATTGATAATTTTCGTTTTTTTGCAGATATTTGTACTACTTAATTACAGTAATATTAATTTTTTTTTCTGTGTGTTAAAAAGTTTAAATTGATTTTAAATTGTTACTAACTGCTGCGTTTCACTTATTAGTAGAGTTTTAATTTTTAGAAATATATTGTTTAAATTTTCATGCTAGGGTGGTGAAGAATTTATTGGGCGAATTTTGGCAAAACCTGTTGTTAAGTTATGTGAAGAAAAATATGAGAAACCATTTTTTCCACCTGTTTTGCAATGGTTTCCTGTGTATCGTGGTGAAACAAGAGCTGGTGAGGTGCTTGCAGCTTTTGAAATGCTTCATGTAAGTATTTCAACATATATAGTATGAGTATATTTTTTTGATTCACTTATAAAGTATAATTACACTTTTATAAAAATATAAATATGTCGATATCAATTGAACCACCAATAGGGGGTAGAAAGTAAATACACTTTTTGCAACCCTCAGAATTAGGGTTGGCATTCGGCAATGCCAACCTAACTGCCGAACTGAAAGTGTTTCAGAATGGCAAAAAATTGCCGACCTCATTTTTTATTTTATAGTCAGACCTTTGTATCAAATAATTTTTGCTGACCTTAAAAAGATTGAGGTTGGCAAATTATTGCCAACATGATTTTTCCTAATTCCGAGGGTTTCTTTTTGACATATTTACACATTTGTGGAATATGCTGACACGATTATAAAAAGAATTCTTTAGAATTGTTTTTCAGGATCAAATTTTAGTTCAAAATTTTCAAAACAACTTTTTTTTAAGGGCATCCTCAAATATTTTTTTAGAGGAATTGTGTCAAATATTTGTTTAGAGGAATTATCATTAGAGGAATTTTGGTTTAGCCTGTTATTAATTGAAATTGGAATTTGTTTTAGAATTTGGAGTGGCTGATTTGAGTTAATATTAATATCTTTGTTTTAGAATTTGGGGTGGATGATTTGAGTTAATATTAATATCTTTGTTTTAGAATTGGGGGTGGATGATTTGAGTTAATATTAATATCTTTGTTTTAGAATTTGGGGTGGATAATTTGAGTTAATTTAATATCTTTGTTTTAGAATTTGGGGTGGATAATTTGAGTTAATATTTTATTGAAAAAGTTGAGCATTTTATGAAAAGAATTTGTTGGAAAACCCATTTTTTCTTAAAACCCATTTTTTCTTAAAACCAAAAACAAACACAGATGATGTATTTAATAATAACCAAGATAATGATAATTATGGATTTAAAACAAAAAATACCCCACCTTTTATACCTGGTTTGGAAAATTTTGAAAATGACCTGTTGTACTTAATTAAAACAATGTTTTGCCCTATAAAAAATAGATTTCAAACAGAATTAAAGTTAGATGTTAAAAAAATTAAATCAAACCCTAATATTTTGGTTTTTGCTGATAAAACAAATAATATTTACCAACTCACAACAGAAAACTATGAAAACATTTTACACAACAATATTACTAGTTCTTATGAGAAAGCCCCTAAAAATATGGAAAATGCAATTAATTTAAAAGCGAAAAGTATTGTTAAAAACATAAACCTTAATAACAGAATCAAATCAACTGCCCCTGCCCAAGCCTTCATAACACTAAAAGACCATAAATCAAATTTTCAAAACAAACTTCCTTGTAGGTTATTGGTTCCCTAAAAAGTGAGATTGGACATGTAAGCAAAATTAATGGACATGTAAGCAAAATAAATTAAATTGGACAAAATTAATAATATTCTTAGAAATAAATTAAATTTGCAACAGTGGAAAAATACCACTGATGCTATAAATTGGTTCTCCATAATCGAAAATAAAAATGACTGTACATTTATTTAATTTGACATTAATGATTTTTACCCCTCAATTACTGCAGATATTTTAGATAAAACAATTGAATTTGTAAAAAGCCACACGGTTATTCCTGAAGAAACAATCCGTATTATAAAACATCGTAGAAAAACCTTACTTTATTTTAACAAGGAAACTTGGAGAAAAAAAAAAAAACATACATGACTGCTTTGACGTAACAATGGGCAGTTATAGGCAGTTACTTCCAAATCGAAATACCTCCCTTCCCCTCCCCCCCATATAGCAAATGTTTCCACTGACATAGGTAAAGTGTTTTTAAAATTAGTTGATAAGCATAAATAAAAATATTAAAAAAAAAGCAGAAGTAATCAATTCTAAAGAATTCTTTTTATAATAGTGTCAGCATATTCCACAAATGTGTAAAAATTTACAGTAGTTATGACATTCGCGACTTTCTTTAATTTAATTTTTTTTGGTATAAATTAAAGTTTTATTAATTTGATCAATTCACAATAAATTTTCAATCCAACAATGACTCAGACGGTTGACCTTGCTCTTGCTTGTTGCACAGAAGTAATCGAAGGTGCAATTTGTCTTTATTTTTGCATGATGAATAAATTTCCTCCATTAATTTGATTGTGCGCTCTGCGCATTGATTACTTCTGAGTATCTGTAGTATGAATGGCCCTCGCTTCCAGTAATTTTTCAAAGAGCTTAAAGCCTTTTTGTATGGATTCAGTATTTCAGCCAAGTTGTTAAAGTCGTTTTCGTTGTACAGTTGGTCTGTAAACCAATGGTCTGCCCAGCCATATGATATAAATCAACATATTCTCTGCAGAACTGTCCTTGTTGAAAGAATTAAAATGAAGGCCAGGGTTGCTAACAATCATCTATTGAATTCCTATAGGTGAAATTCATCAAGGACTTTAGAAATTCTTTGAGCAATAGTTAAAGCCTTGCCATCTACCAAGCCAAGAACATCCAATTTGATTTCTCTTCTTTCATTTTTAAGGACGACCACTTGATAATCCATTCTGTCAATGTGCTTGCCATCAAATTGTAAGGACCAGCTTTCCATATGCAATTTTTCAATCATTTTTTCGTTCAGCTTGATTGCCTCTTTGACTATTGACTTGTAAATAGCTGATTGACTTGGAGTTGGGATGTCAATGCTTTCACAAGCCAATTGCTTGCATATGTTAGCAGCTTTGTTTGTTGATACTCTTATGGAGGTCACCAAGTTGACTGCAATTTTGCTTTTATGATGTTTTCTGCTTAGTAGTAGGAGTTGTCTCATCTTCTTCCTCATTGTTTTCATATTCACTGTCGTCAGCCTCAGGGTCAGAATCACAAAAACCAGGATAGTAAGATGATGAGTTGGATGACTAATTAGAAAGTTTTTATCATTTAGATGGATGGATCGTTTCTTTACTGGCCACTTGGCCTGTAGAATATCCCATCGTTCCTTTGCTTTCCTCTTAGAGGTGTTACAATTGCTTGTCTTCGGAAGATAACCATGTTCCATCCACTTTAATAATATTAAAAATTTCATCCAGGGGTTCGTAGCTTCCCCACTAGACACATTCATAATAACATTTCAGTGTTTTATCAAGCTTTTCTTGTATAACTTGATCAGATATATGAGGAAAATTCAGTTTATGCCATGTGTTGCTTCTGTAATAACTATAAAATTAGATGAGCAGCTATATGTAGTCTAAAATGTTCTAGAATATTCCAAAATGTTCTAAATTGTTCTAGAATGTTCCAAAATATTTTCAATTGTTCTAGAATGTTCTAAATTGTTCCAGAATGCTCTAAATTGTTCTAGAATGTTCTAAAGTCTTCTAAAATATTCTGTTATTTTCCAAAATGTTCTAAAGTTCTAACACTTCTAATCTATTTGTTTTAAATGATTTGCAGGAAAGCAACACGTATTAGTAGAACCAGTAACAAGCTTAAATAAATGACGAAACCTAATTTGAATTGCAGGGTGACCTTTTTTTACATGTTTTTTAACTTTTCTAATAAAAGTTAATCGATTTATGACACAGGAAATTGATTTTTTTTTAAAAAGTCATAACCCTAATATATATATATATATATATATATATATATATATATATATATATATATATATATATATATATATATATATATATATATATATATATATATATATATATATATATCTGTGCGTGTGTGTATATATGTATATATATATTTATATATATATACATATTAAAGCATGAAAATGCATGCGTTGTATATATAATGTACAAATTGTTTATGAAAAGTTATATTACAATGTATATAAATTACTTACAATGCATGGTTGTTTTTTTTTAGATATCAGATAACCCAGATATAATTTCAGAGATTCCTGAAGATCCACCATTAACTGATACTCCAAATGGATTGATCATGAGAGTTCCAGACAAGATAAGACCAGTTATGAAGAAACACAGGATTGAAGTATCTTTCATTTTTATGTATCTTTTTTAGTATTTTTTCAAACTAATTTAGAAATTTTTATTAAAAAAAAATTGGATAATTAAACAATTAAAATTTGTTAAAAGTTAAAATCAAAAGAGAGGACCACTAAAGTTGTTTATTAACCTATGTAATAAATGATAATTTATTACAAACTAAATTATCATTAATTACCCATTGTGGTTTTACAAATTAAGATATCATTTGTTACACCAAGTCATATATGTCCAACAAATTTTTTGATAAGTTTTTGGAGAATGATCAGCAATTTGAGCTGAAAAATGAAAAATCAGATGTTTGGAAAAAGATGATGTTTGGAGAAAGATTTTCTATTGCCTCAAATGTAATAAGTGTGAATGAAATAAATAAGTAGGTGTGTGAATGTAAGTGTGTGAATGAAATGTAAGTATGTGTAAGAATGTAAGTTTGTGAATGAAATGAAATGTAAAGATGTAAAATGTAATTGCTTAAAATGTAATAAATGTTGAATAAGAGTTGTTTTTTTCTGGGTTTTTGTTTTTTAAACAAAAGCAAAAAGTCGTTTCTTTTTCTAGTAAAAAGGTCTAAAATGTTTTCAAAAAATCTCTTTGCATAATTGTAACCCATAATCTCATGTGCTTAATACAAGACGAAAACAAAATAGGATTTTTTTTCAGATCTTATATACCAAGATAGGTTTATAAGATACCAAGATAGGTTTATAAGATACCAAGATAGGTTTATAAGATACCAAGATAGGTTTATAAGATACCAAGATAGGTTTATAAGATACCAAGATAGGTATATAAGATACCAAGATAGGTATATAAGATACCAAGATAGGTTTATAAGATACTAAGATAGGTATATAAGATACCAAGATAGGTATATAAGATACCAAGATAGGTATATAAGATACCAAGATAGGTATATAAGATAGGGTCTTAATAAAAATGTAGGTGGAATTTTATTTCTCAAATCTTATAAACCTGCAGTTGTATTGATATTTGGAGGTGGGATTTTGTCTCCAAATGTAATAAATGTAATAAGAGTTTCTTTCAAAAAGGGGCCTCTCAAGTTCCAATAAACAGAGGCACAGGTGAATTCTGCAAACATTCAAAAAAGATTTACCTAAAAGAACAACTTTTGACACAGGTTTCGTTATCACTTTTAAAACAAATTATAAACATGATACATTTATTTATCATGTTAAAAGTATATATATTTTTTATAAATAGTTTCAATTAGTCAATTAGGAGGTACAAATAAAACTTCATGAATTTATTAACATCAAAAGCAAATGAACAAGAGGAAAAAAAAATTATAACTAATTAAATGAGACCATTTATTATTATTTTAAATTTGAATGCTATACGTTCCACTAACTCCTTTTAACTATTAAATACTACTAATGTTCTTTAATGAATAAAACTTGTGTCTCAACTAGCCACTTTCTTTTATTTTTTTGTAATTTCAACAAAGCATTGTTATAACCTATATTAAATACAGTTAATTTCACCAGAGCATTGTTATATTAAATGCTGTCAATTTAACAGTTATTGAGATTCTATGGCAACTCTTTTTTTCATAAGACAATCAAATAGTTACAAAAAAGAAGTTGCAATAACTTGATTGATGTAGATTAACAAGGGTCTGGAATTAAAATCTTTTAAAAATATTATATGAATTTGATTAGATTTGATTGGTTTTTGTTGAAAGTGCATTACCTCAGAGTTGATGTAATGTTCTAAAAATAAAATACATAAAATTATATATGAAATATAGTGAAAATCTGTAAAGATTAAGAAACAAAGATTTAATATACATTAATCTGTAAACAATATTAACTTATGCAATTCTGCATATATTATTTATCAATCTGTGGACAACATTTTTTTGCATATAATGTTCATCAATCACAGACATTTATCCCTTTAACTGATTAATGTTAATAAATCTGAAAATTTATTAGTTATTTTCATGTTAATCTTTGAATGTTTTTAAAAACAAGTGTTTCAAAAATTTGCAGGAAAATTAAAGCACTAAGCAGCACAGTCTACTTATGTCTAGTCCAGTCTAGAATTTATAAAATTTAATCTGATTTTTAAGAACATTATAAAATTTTCAAATTAAGTAAATGTTTGAAAATTTAAAAAATGATGCTTTATTTTTTTTTTATATTGGCTTGAAAAATATAGAAAAAAGACCAGAATATATATATATATATATATATATATATATATATATATATATATATATATATATATATATATATATATATATATATATATATATAACTCAATTACTTATAGTTTTATCATTTATATTAGGTTCTTTTTTGGGGTGTACGCGACTTAAAGAAAGCTCAGTTTATGTCAGTAAACAGTCCTCAGGTTGAATTGGACTGTTGTTACAAAATTATTAAAACAAATGGTGAAGAAGATGATGTGCTGAAGTCAGTGATTATAAAGAGTGCTGCTAGGAATCCTAATTTTCATGACTGTGTTGATATTTTTGATGTGGTCAGTTTTTGTTAAATTTTAAAATTTTATCGTATTTTCTTTAGCTCCTACAATTGGTTCTAGCATTTAATAAACTTCTAACATCTACTCTATTATCTCCTTATTTTATTTCCTTATCTCCATATATATGAATATTCTTATTATTTAATCATTTGTAAAAATAAAAGATTTAAAATTGATTGAGAAAGAGAAAAATTAGTTTTTTACACTACTTTTTAAATGTTTGTTATATTTTAATTTTTATGTTATATCTTAATTTTTATGCTATATATTGCTTTTTATGTTATATTTTAATTTTTTTTATATTTTAATTTTTGTTTTATTTTATTTTTTGTTATATTTTAGCTTTTTTTTCCTTCTATAATCTCTAATTTGTTTTGCTCCTCAGGGAAAGTAAAATATATTTAAATTGAATGTTTAGTGGCTACCAGAAGCTGAAAAATATCTTCCACCTTTGACAATTCATGTTAATGATTGTCGTGCCTTTGGGCGTCAAGTTTTATGTGGCACCCATGTTATAAATTCTTTGCACAAGTTTTTTATGGATCCTTCAATGTACACACGAAGACAAGTTCAAGGTTTTTTTTTCTTTTATCAATTTTAATAACGTATTTTTGACATGTTGCATAATTTTTTGTACATGATGTGTTTGTTAGTGTGTATTTCTTTGTACTTGATGTGTTTGTTTTTAGTAAAACATTTTTTAACTTTTTTTTATATTTGTTGGTTTGGTATTTTTTTAGTACAATCATTTTACACATATTTTTAAAATAAAATTTCTTATTTAGTAAATAACTACATTTTAGAAAATGATGATAAAAAAGTTGAAGCAGAAATATCAACAGAAGTTACAACAGAAGTTACTACTGAAACTACTACTCAAGACGTAAGTTGGTTTTTTTTTTTTGAAGTTTTAAAATCTACTAAACATTCTTTAAATCTCAAAGACAATTGTGTTCTTAAAAATTGTTAAAACTTCAAAAAAAAAAAAAAAGACAATTGTGTTCTTAAAAATTGTTAAAACTTCAAAAAAAGACACAAAGACAATTGCGTTCTTTTGTTTTTTTATTCCTAAACAAAGAGTTTTTGTTTTAGACGTAATTTAAAATACACCAGTAATTTAAAATTTTGTTTTTAGAAATAAAATTTTTATACTTGTTTTTTTGAGTTAACATTTAACTAGTTTAATGTGATATGAGTAAACATATGTTTAATGTATGTGATACGAGTAAACATATGTTTAATGTATGTGATACGAGTAAACATATGTTTAATGTATGTGATACAAGTAAACATATGTTTAATGTATGTGATACGAGTAAACATATGTTTAATGTATGTGATACGAGTAAACATATGTTTAATGTATGTGATACGAGTAAACATATGTTTAATGTATGTGATACAAGTAAACATATGTTTAATGTATGTGATACAAGTAAACATATGTTTACTCGTATAATATGAGTAAACATATGTTTAATGTATGTGATACGAGTAAACATATGTTTACTCGTATAATATAAGTAAACATATATAATATGAGTAAACACATAATGTGATATTGGTATACATATGTAATGTAAGTAAACATATAATGTGATATGAGTAAGCATAATGTGAGTATGAAGAAAATAATCAAGTTGTTTATCAAATTATTTAATTAGTTTTCAGAATATTTAGTAATTTGTAAAATCTTTATGGTAAATCAAATCATTTTAAACTCCACTATGAATATTGATTTAAATCATATGAAAAAATCATTGCTCTTGGTTATGTGCTGTTACAATATTTGTAATAAGCTGGTTTGCTATTTTTAAGTCAATATAAATAGAATATTTTTCATTTCACACTTGACATAACTTGAATATTTATTTCAGACTTTATATAACTTGAATACTTTTAATAAGTTTAATGACAAAAATGTTTTTTGAAATAATCATAGTGGAGTTAACCATGAAGATCATTCTAAAAACTCTTGTGATTATCATCTTATATTATAATCAGGGGGTGATCTGAGATTTTTGGGTCATTATGCTTAACTGTCAAGACGACAGCTTAATTGCTACATTTTGCCTAAGTATTTAGTAGTTTAGTGACAGAGAACTTTTGCCCATCACTTTTGTTTTTCAAAATATTGCTCTCCAAAATCTTAATATTATAATTAGTCAAAAATATATTTTTGGCTAAATTTTTAGATTGTTCAAAAAAAGAAAAAAGAAGAAGAGGTTGCCATTGAAATTTATGATTGGTGGACAAGATTTTATGAAACACAAAGAGACATGGAAGAAGAAGAAGCAGTACCAAGTAAAAAGAAGAAAGATGTAATTAAAGAAGAAAAGAAAGTGAGCAATATTCCTCGTTTAAAGGTAATATACAAAAAGCTAAATTTATAGTTTTTTTAGAATTTAAAAATTTGTTAAAATCTTTAATTATGCTAATAAAAGAAATTTAACAAATGATTATATTATTTATTTTAATAAATATAATGCAACATTAGCAAAGTTATCCTAATATACTTTTATATGGTAATAGTTTTATATATATAGTTAAGTATACATATAAACATGTTTGTATGTATATTTATGCATATACTTAAAATTATATAAGGCTTCATTATAATATTAGGACATGACAAATCTTGTATTTAAGCAGAAAAGAAAGATTCAACTAAGCACTATAATGTTATAATAATATAAAAGAAGGTCTCATATAAATTCCAAAAATATTTTAAGGTCCAAAAGTCTGAGTGATTAGAAAATCTAACAAAAAGTTATATTTACCTTTATTGCTTATTTAACAAGGAAGAATATCAGAAAAAATAGCAATATTTTTTTCACTCTTATTAAACTTCCAACTGCTGTCTGCTCTAAGCGATTGGAAAGCAAAGACTTTTTGCCAAGACAGGAATATAAAGTTGAGTCATCTGAAAATAGAGCTAATTTATTTGTAAGGTTGTCAAGAAGATTATTAATTTTAATAAAAAACAAAACAGGACCAAGTATAGAACCTTGAAGTACCCCAGAAGTTATTGGAAATAAAGAGAAGTGTTAGCCTTTAAAGATGACTTTAATAAAACAGTTAGAAAGAAATCATTTCATAATCTCAAAAGCTTTCCCAGATATGCTATATGAAGCAAGCTTATGGAGAAGACCAGCATGCAAACTTTGTTGAAGGGTTTAGATATGTCAAGAGCATCAGCCTTTGCCTCGCTGCCTCCTTCTTAAGCATAATAAAATCTTTCACTTACAGTAATTAGCAAGTAAGTTGTTGAGCAAGAGAATTGAAAACCATATTAATTGTTTGACAGTAATTTATTAATTTTGTGAGACTATGACAGCAATGTTCTGGCCAAAAGTCATAATCAAAGTTTAGTTGAGATATGACTTAAGCAATGGAAGCTGGAGTGATTTTAATGTCTAACAATTGGTTAATATGTTTAACTGGAATGAAAAGAAAAGAAGGTCTTTATTAAGAGTCAAATTATAAAAAATGTTTTTTGCAAATAGTTCTGCCTTATCTTCGGATGTATAATCGGATGAGGTAATAAGATCAGTCCCATGAATGAGAAATGGAATGTTAGATCTATCTTTGCTAATGATGCTGTTAAAGATTTTCCAAAAGTCTCTAGTGCCTAACTTCTGAGATAAGATATGAGATTTAGTGAGCTGAGTATAATGGAGCTTAGCATCAGACAGCACCTTTTTACATCAATTTCTTGCAATAATAAATAGCTATTTGTTCTCAAGAGAGTTGTTTTTTGAAAAAAAAAAAAACTCCCTTGAGACCCAAAAGAATAACTCTCTTGTTACACCCAAGTAAAAATTTTATTAATAATGTAATTTAAATCATATGAAAATAAAAATAGGATTAAAACAAATAACTAAATTAATATTTTATAAAAATAAACAAAATTAATAACTGTTCACAGTATAATAATAATAATAAAAAATTTTACAACAGTCAGGGGTGTACACTCGGACTTTTGGTCAGTCACCAGAAGGGCGACTGAAACTAACCAGTTTGTTAATTTTGGTCGCCCGCCGACGTTTTGAGTCGCCCGTTGCCATTTTTTTTTTTTAATTTCCACTTAGCAAAGTTCTCGCATGTTTTAGTCATTTTTTGTTATATGGCTAAATGTACACTAGAAGCAATATGCGTAAATAAAAGTAATATTGAAAACTATTGATAAAATTCACTTTTCTACTTTCAAAAAAAAACACATGCTATTATATTTTTAAACTTTATTTGAGCGCTCATTTTATAAAAAAATAGACGTTCGATTACAACAAAAAATTGTTGACAAATATAAAAAACAATGTACAAATACTTTAAAACCCTTTGCTTTTAATGTGTTGTAATTATTACGATATTATTTCTTACAAGAATAACTATTTATATTTTGAGAGGTAAAACTTAAGCTGCTGAACTTAAGCTATGGCAAAATAAAAAATCAATCAGAGAAAAAAGATTAGCGAATCTATCTGGTTTGATATTAGTCGCTATTTGTGACCAAGATAGCAGTGGAAATGATTTTGAACTTGCACTTGTCCAAGTTGCCATTATTTTCTTCAATATTATCCACACTGATAAAATATTTCCAACATCTACTTGTTTATATTCGAGTTGTTGCAAAGCATATCGTCGTCAATAAGGGCTTTTATGTTATTGTCTAGCATGTTTTTATGTAACTTTTTGTTGTTTTCAGCCATGAAAAAGTCCCTCTCCATCCATTTAACTGTGTTAAGCAACTCGTCCGCCTCCGCAAAGACATCTGATACATTTGAACATCGTTTCAAAATGCACTTTTTCATGGATGTAGCAATAAAAACTTTTATCACTTCATGCAAATTTAAAATCCCATATATCAAGTGCTTCTTCCAGTAAAAACCAGAGTCTGGATTTTCTTCGAATCTTTCTAAATTCCAAACGGTATGCTCGAGCGAAGACTTAACTTCATACGTTGAAACATTTTTTTTTTGTGCTAACCTAATAAAAACATAAACAATATTATTATTGGTATATTCTTAAATTTCTAAGTAAACAATTTATTATTTGTTACATTAACGTTTTAATTTGAAAAGCAATAGTGTATTTTAATTAAATACTATATAGTTAAGTTATAAATGTAATTAAATATTTGAATTTAGTAGTTAATTCAATATATAATTTACAGCGACAAATTATGTATTTTATAAATATATAAATAATAATAATTTTTATATTTTATTTTGAAAAATTAAATCTTAATCAATAAACATTTAGGAAATATTAAATTAGAAAAAGTTTCTAATTCTGAAAAAACTCTAAGTATGAGAGCAACAAAAATATAATTATAAAATTTGAATGAATTTGTTCTTTTAAGAAAATTTTAATAGACTTTTAATTAAATAGTTCAAAAAAGAGCGCGACATCTATTTATGATGCGCGAAATCTATTTATGACAAAGTTTTTATCTTTTGTAAATATTTTTCTTTGATTATTGAATGTTAATTATTGCAAAGTTTATACTTCTAAAAGGTTTAATAACAATAATATTAGTATATATTACAATAAACTCACATATTACCTAATTATATATACTTTTTTTGTTGTTTATTTATAAAGCTTATAACTTTTGTTTGTGGTGAATTAATACTCTGAAAATACCTTACTAATGCCTTTAAAACAATTGTCATTGCTCTACACACATTAAGAATATAGATCGTCGTTGACATTAAAAGCTGATCAACCAATTTCTTTGCAAAGAACTTAGCCTTTGATTTCTGTGTTGCGCTGTAGTCGCTTTCCAAGCTGATAGTGGTATAACTATGAATATACGCTTTTAGACCATTGAGAAGATTCTCCAACGCATTTATCATATGCGCAACCCATCTGGTACCATTAACTCGTATGACACTGCATTTGGCCTAAAAATTAAAATACTAAATTAAATAAATATAAAGTTGCCTAAATTAATTAATATAAATTTTGATTGTTAATACTACCTTAAAATAATAAGTAAAAAAACGTTAAAATATTACCAATATAACAAGACTTAATTCTTAAAATACCTTTTACACCATAAACTTTGCATGCGTTACAATAAACTGCTGATATAACAGTAGAATTTCGATGAAAAATGAAGAGTTGCTCACAAAATAGCTGCAGAATTTGGAGTTCCTTTGAAGTGCTGGCTGCATCTTTCAGTGCCAGCTGCAATCGGTGCGACAAACAATGTGTGTAAGTGAGAAAATTGTTGCACCTACTTTTTAGCTGTTGCTGAACACTATGTCTCCGTCCAGTTAAAACATTTGCGCCATCTGTAGTTAAACCTACCATTAGAGGCACTATATTTTCTGCATGTACTATTAGTTCATTATTGTAGTCGTGTGGCTCTTCTTCACTAAGGAAACCTTCAAAATTGCATTCATCGTTAATGTTGTCACTATCGCTAAATAGTTGAGATATTTCATCTTCTATACGTACTAATTCCTTTGTCTTCTAGATTCAACTTAATAATCAACTTAATTGTAAACAAAATGATTGGAACTGAAATAAATATCTACTCTATTTAAACCGATTTTAGAGGTAGTTTAAAATAATATACGCTTGATGGTTAAATAAATTGTTTTTAAATAATTGGAGACTGTCTGGTCTCACAATAATTGCAGGGTTGGAATTTATTTGTAATTTAAAATGTAATTTTTATGGCGTAAATTGAACTAAATTTCTAATGATCAGTAGTAACTAGTTTTTAAAAGTACTTACTGTAGTAACTAGTTTTTAAATTACTAATTAAAATAGTCATTAGTCATTTCTTTAAATTTTTTTTTTTTTTTTTTCAGTATATGTAAAATTTCGACAAATTGGACAAATTTACTTCTATTATTTATCTTTTAAATTATTACATATCTCTAAAATTTAATTAAATAAAAAAAAAAAGAATGTTTAAACTATAAAACCTTTTTGTTTTATTTTACTTGTATTTTCTAATTAACAATAGAAAATGCAGTAAACAAACTTTAGCATTATGACTTTTAAAATAGAGTTTTATTATTATTTTAGTTACTTATTGCATTAGTTACTTTGCATACTTTAAATCTCTTAAATTACACACACAAAAAAATAGAACTGCCGATAAAAATCAATAGTCGCCCTTTCGAGCGACTTGATTGCATAAAAAAAATATTTTGAGTCGCCCTTCACAATATTCGGTCGCCTGGTGCCATCTGACGACCACGAGTGTACATCCCTGACAGTTGACAAAATAATAAAAAGAATTTCATATTTTGATAAATAATTTGTAAGTGTTTTTTGTTACAAGGTTTTATTTGAAAATCATGAAACCATTGTAATGTGTAAAATTTCAATTTTAAATATCTCACGCAAATAAGTTATTTAAATATTTTAAATTAGTATTAGATATAGTATAAAATATAATATAAAATATTTATTAAAAAATTATCAAATATTTCAATGCAGAATCTTTTTTTCAAAAAATTTGAAATTTGGCTTGAATCTTACTTTTTAAATATATTTAGATTTTTTATTGTTGGAACTAAAAAGTTTTGACTAAATTATATGACTTAATAAAATGGATAAAAGAAAAAAACTTAAATTTTCTCTTAATACCAAACTCCAACATACAGACCTTGCTAATCAAGGTGGCTGCGCAAAGAAACAGGTTGAAGCCACTGGTGCAGTACTTCTAGAGTCGTTTTTGAACATCAAACCTCTTGTTCGATGAATTTGAACTACTTTTTTTTTTTTTTTTTGCTGTTTTTTTTTAAACATCTTCGCTTCCAACAAGGCTGCAAGCAACCACTAATTAGTGTTGGAAGTTACTGGAAGAAAAAACGATGAAGATTGTAGAGCAAGATAATGATTGACAGACAACTTAAAAGCTTGTAAATTATATGAATCAGGAAACCAAGATGAAGGAAGCGAATTCCAAAGAACTGATGTTCGAAGAACAAAACTAGAAGAATAAGAGTTTTTGGAGCACTTAGTAACAGTAACAGAAAAAGGATGAGACTTGATTGAATGACGAGTAACATCAGAATGAATTTTAGTAGATGGCACAAGAGACGCTAGCTCTTTAGAGCAGTACCCATTATAGTATTTGTAGAAAAGAGAAAGAGAGGCAACATTACGACGATGTGACAAAGGTTGAAGGTTGGCTACAAGAGCAAATCCAACTATGTTTACAATGTGTTTTTGCACCTTGTTTAAAAGAGAAAGGGCATCATTAGAAGATCCTCCCCAGATATGGAAACAGTATTCCATACAAGTTCGGATTTTAGATTTAGATAAATAGATAGAGATAGAGAATAGAATAGAATACAGAGTAAGAAAGTGTCGAGCTCGATAGAGAGATGCAACTTTAGCAGATGCTAATTTTGCAACGGATTTAAGATATGGTTTCCAAGAAAGATCAGAAGAGTTAATTCTAGAAGATGAGGGGTAGATGACTCATCGAGTACATTACCGTTCATAAATATAGGAAGATCTAAATTGTTGCGATAACGATTGGCTGAAAATGATTGAGTTTTATCTGAATTAAAGTTCACTAAACTGCTGTCCATCAAGGACAACTTTTATACTACAATTGGAAAGAAAGGATTCAATAATCTTAAAGATGTTTCCAGATACACCGTAAGTAGAAAGCTTATGGAGAAGACTTGTTTGTAATGAGAGCGTTCTACCACTAGTTTGCTACTTATTTATTGTTAATATTAATTAATGGTAATAATTATGTTATTAATATTTTTTAATTAATACCATTAATTAATATTAATAACATAATTAATTAATATTAATTATGTTATTAATATTAATTAATGGTATTAATTATGTTATTAATATTAATTAATGGTAATAATTGTTATTAATATTAATTAATAGTATTAACTATGTTATAAAATTATTAAATCAAACAACTGCACCCATACATTTTGACCATTATAAATTAAATTTAATTAATAAATATTATTTAAAAAGACTTTTTATAATTTTTGTAGGAAAATACTACAAAATATGTATTTCTTCATATGACAAACATAGTAAAAAAAGACAAGTAAATATTTTTTATCTTTATATTTTAAAAATAGTAACATATATAAAAGATAAAGAAAAAGGTTTTATGAAAATGCATAAATTTATATATTTGCTTTGTTTTTTTAAAATAAGCATTATTTGTTAATCGTATGAAATATGATTAAATAAATTAATTTTTTCTATTAGATATTATATTAGCGTAGTGCAGTTAATGTTCTATTGCTTTAATTTCGAGGGTTGGCTATCTAAGAAGCGTGTCCAATCCTCTATTGAAAACTATTTTATTTAATTTTAAATGTTTTATTCAAAGTAGTTTTATGTTTTTTTAATTAATATAGTTGTTTATTTATAGTTACATTGTATAATATTGTTGTTAAATATAGTTTATTTTGGTAATTGCAGTCAAGTGTATATATACCAACTGATTTAAATAGGATACAAATATTAATTAAAAATTATTTAAGTACTTTTTAACCAAAGATTATTTGGTACTATTGTTTTGGCTTTTGTTTATATTAGAATGACCTCCTATTTATTCTCTCTATTACAGGGATTATCTTTTTACAGATATTTACAGAATTCAGGATATTTTTCTCAACTTTTAAGTTTTTCCGGATATCAAAAATGTTTTCTATACATACAAGTTTAGGAATATATTTTTGTAATATATTTGTTTTTTAAGGTTTTTCACTTATTACTCATACAAAAATTTAAAAAAGTTAAAAAAAAATTAAAAACAACTCAGCTAAAAGCAAAATTATGAGAAATATAAGGGAAAATATATTTCAAAGGGAAAATATTTGCGATAAGGGAAAATTCAGGATTTTTTGTAGATATTTTACCCTAATGATTTTCCGGATTTTTAAAATTTGACCTGGATGATCTATGATATTAAATCATTCTACGAAATATTTAGTTTTAATTTTAAACATTAAATTTTTAATTTACTTAAATATTTAATTTTTTTAGCTCTGGGAATAATTTTTCCTGCTTTTCAATAATTTTACTCTTCCAGTAACTTCCAACTCTAATAGTGGTTGCTTGCAGCCTTGTTGGAAGCAAAGATGTTGAAAAATATATATATATATTGTTTCTTTATAACAAATTTTCTTTTTAATTAGGTTTAAGAAAATGTGATTGATGATGATGATGACAACTATAATCTTAATCATAAAAATATGATGATCATCATGTAGTAATGATGATAATCATGGTTTGAATTATATATGTCTTATGATAACTCCTATTTACTTTTTTTTGACTTTTAGATCTATTTAGATGAGCTGGAAAATGTTGAAGGCTTTAGTGGTTTTAACGATTTTCTTGCTTGCTTTAACCTTTTGCGTGGTAAGAAAACTGAAGATGAAGATGATGAATTAAAAAGATTTTCTGGAAAATTTAAAGTGAGTTATTTTTTGAATCAAGTGTTCCTATGCACTTGTGTTGATACTTTTATTTGACTTTTAATTTTTTTAATAAACTTTTTTTTTATAATTTTATTTTTGTTATACATAAAGTAAGGATAAAGATAATTTTTTCAAGTGAGTTTTTTTTGTTTTAACTATTACTAACATTTAAAAAAAAAAATTCAGGTTTAAAAAAAAAATTAATTTTCTTTTAACTTAATAGAGCTTTCTAAACATTTTTTTTAATGACAAAACAATAATGTACCATTTCACAAAAATCAAAAAAAAATTCTTCTTTTAAATTTGTGACTTTTTGTGGAGTTTGTCACTAAAGTCCAAAATTTAAAGTTTTCTTCTATAAAAGTCTAATCCATTGAAGTATTTCTCTTTTTGTTTTTTTTTTTTTTTTTTTTTTTTTGTTTACTTATTAAAAAAAAGAGAGAAATACTTTAATGGATTAGATATTAAAAAATCATCATTTTTTAAAAATCATCATTACATCTTAAAACATCATTGCAACTATAACTATAAAGTATAAAGTCAAAATTGCAGAGGATTTCAATTTTGTTATAAAATATGATTTTAGGGAAACTTTCGTTTGTGGAAATACCCTCTTCCACCTGATTTTGATACTGAAGATGAAATGGGCACATTTTACAGGTTACCTTCAAATGAACCAATAAATCTCCTTGTTAGGGTTTATGTTATCAGAGTAATTATTTATTTTATAACTTTTATGAAAAATTTTAAAATGATTATCAACAAAAGTACAAATTTAAGTTAGATATCATATAGCTTGAAAATTATTTTCTTTTAGGCAATCAATCTACATCCAATGGATTCAAATGGGAAGGTTGTATTTATGTTTGATTATATTGAAATTTATATTTATAATCATAGTTTAATTATTGTGGTATTTTACTATTTAATAGCTTTGTTTAATTTCATTCACATATATTGTTACTTGTTCATTATCCTCCTATTAGTAAACTTTGAGAAAAAGTGTGTCCTGTAAAAATTATATTGAAATTGTGCTTAACAGTTCTCAAGTTTAAATTTGCACTATTTAATTTTAATTTACTATGCTCAATCTATGTTTTAATATTATAAGTATGCATTTTAGTTTTTTTTTTTTTTTTTTTTTTTTTTAACATCTTCACTTCCAACAAGGCTGCAAGCAACCACTATAAGAGTTGGAAGTTACTGGAAGAGAAAAGACTAAATCTGTAGAGCAAGATAACGATTGACTGATGACTTAAAAGATTGCAAATTATATGAATCAGGAAAGCAAGATGAAGGAAGCGAATTCCAAAGAACTGATGTTCGAGGAAAAAAACTAGAAGAATAAGAGTTTTTGAAGCACTTAGGAACAGTCACAGAAAAAGGATGAGACTTAATTGAATGGCGAGTAACACGAGAATGAATTTTAGTAGATGGCACAAGGGACGCTAGCTCTTTAGAGCAGTGCCCATTATAGTATTTGTAGAAAAGAGAAAGAGAAGCAACATTACGACAATGTGACAAAGGTTGGAGATTGGCTGCCAGAGCAGGTCCAACTATGTTTACAATTCGTTTTTGCACCTTGTCTAAAAGAGAAAGAGCATCATTAGAAGATCCGCCCCAGATGTGGCAACAGTATTCCATACAGGGACGGATTTGAGATTTATAGAGATAGAGAATAGAATCTGGAGTAAGAAAGTGTCAAGCTCGATAAAGAGATGCAACCTTAGCAGATGCTAATTTTGCAATGGATTTGATATACGGTTTAAAAGAAAGATCAGAAGTAAGAGTTAATCCTAGAAGATGAATGGTAGATGACTCATCAAGTACATTACCATTCATAAATATAGGAAGATCTAAATTATTACGATAACGATTGGCCGAATAAAATTGAGTTTTATCTGAATTAAAGTTCACCAGCCACTGTGAGCCCCATGCTGTAGCAGAAGTGAGATCCTTTTCAAGCTCAGATACCCCCTCCAAGCAATCAGAGAGTGTAGGCTTCTTATCATGACAAGAGTAAATGGTAGTGTCGTCAGCGAATAATGCCACCTTAGATGTGAGAATATCTGGAAGATCGTTAATGTAAATTAAAAAGAGTATAGGGCCAAGGATTGAACCTTGAGGAACCCCTGAAGTTACAGGATGTGAAGAAGAGTGTTGTCCATCGAGGACAACTTTTATACTACGATTGGAAAGAAAGGACTCAATAATCTTAAAGACGTTACCAGCTACACCATAAGAAGAAAGCTTATGGAGAAGACCAGCATGCCAAACTTTATCAAAAGCTTTAGAAATGTCAAGTGCGATAGCCTTAACCTCTCCACCTCTATCTAATGCACGGTAAAACCTATCGGTTATTACTGTTAGCACATCAGCTGTAGAACGAGAAGACCGAAATCCATATTGATGATCGGAAAGTAAGTTATTTGATTCAAGATGAGAGATTAAGTGTTTGTTGATTAAAGATTCAAAAACCTTGCTTATGACAGGAAGAAGACTAATGGGACGGTAGTTAGATGAATCAGATCGCTCTCCGGAATTTTTGAAAATAGGGATAACAGATGCTGCTTTCCAGCATGATGGAAAACAAGACTCTGATAAGCACTTGTTAAATAGTTTAGAAAGTATGGATGAAAGCTCCGGAGAACACCTCTGCAAGACTACAACAGGAATGTTGTCAGGACCACAAGCTGTTGAAGAGTCTAAGCAGGAAATTACTTTAGATACAGAAGCTGAAGTGATGCGAATGTCAAGCAAGGGATCAACCTGTTTGACGGCTATGTCAGGTAAAACGCAACTAGTGGAATCAAGAGATGATATTGATGAAAAGTTCTTAGCAAACAATTCAGCTTTGTCTTTAGGTGAGGTGACAAAGTCTGAACCATACAAGAGAGAAGGAATAACAGATTTGCCCTTATTATTGATACTGTTAAAGATTCTCCAGAAGTCTCGAGAGCCTAATTTTTGTGATGAGATACGAGATTTAATGACCTGGGAATAGCGAGCTTTGGCGTCAGACAAAACCTTTTTACAATGGTTTCTGGCAATAGTGAACAGATGTCTGTTTTCTGGAGAATTGTTTTGCTGATAGATATGGAAGTAACGGTTTCGATTAGAAATTGCTGCAGCGCAATGTGAGGAAAACCAAGGAGAAGAGTGAGGCTTGACCTGGAATCGTCGAGAGGGAATAAAAGATTCCATGCCAGCCTGAATCCACGAAGTTATGTAAGAAGCACATTTGTCAGCAGGAAGACGAAAGATTTCTACCCAAGGGCCATCACGAAGAAAATCACGGAAAGAGTCCCAGTCAGCTTTAAGGTAGTTGTATGTGGTACGATGATAGGGGGATTCTGATGAAGTAGAAGAATTTGATAATAGTTTTAGAGAGATCAAACCGTGATCAGAAGTACCTAAGGGTGAATGTGGAGAAATTGAGCACTGACTAGGATCCAAAACAAGACATAAGTCGAGTAGAGAAGGTAAATGATTAGAGTTGTCTGGAAAACGAGTTGGAAAGTTGACTATTTGAGTTAGAGATTGAGAAAGACAAAAGTTGAGGGCCTTAACGCTAGCAGAGTCACTGACACTAGAGCCAAGCCAATCGGTGTGATGGGCATTAAAGTCACCAACAACGACGATATTGGCCGATGGATAAAGAGAGAGGGCTTGGTCAATTTGATCAGAAATAACATCAAGAATAGTGCAATCTTGGGATGAAGGAGAGCGATATAGAACAAAGAGAAAGGCGATAGAGTGAAGTTGTGCTAAACGAAAGCACATAAATGAATAGTCTGTAGATTCAAACCTAGTTTCACAACAAATGGGTGAGTTCTTACGAATGTAGATGCCCAGGCCAAGCATGTGATTATTGGAGTCTTTACGAATTTTTGTATTAGTATTTCGAAGTTTTGTATTAGTATTTCGTATTACGAAGTTTTGTATTAGTATTTCAAGGAGCTTCTTTTTTTCTTTGAGCTTTGCATTGTCAGACTAAACAGTGGTATATTCAGTGGATACATAGTTATACTTTAGTTGTTTGTCATTATTTTTATATTTTATTTAACATAGTATCTAAAAATGGCAATGATGATTTCAGTTTTTAGAGCAATACTATTTTTTTGATTTTGTTTTAGATATTTTTTTTTGAAAAAAAAATGAAAATTTTGTTTGCTTAATGTTCCAGGGCTCCTAAAGTGATTAACAAGTGTAACTCAAATTAACTCACATTAAATAAAATTTTATGAATTTTATATTTTTGTCTGTCACGTGAGATACTTAAATTGATTTTTATTTATTTTTTAAGGCTGATTTTAAATCTGAACTTTGAAGTCTTTTTTTTTTTGCAATAACTAATTTTTCAAAAATAAGGTTATTCCAAGGTACTTTTATTATAATCATGCCATTATTTTTTTAATGCTCATATTTTAAGTCTCCTATTATATATATATAAAAATATAAGTCATATTATAAGTCTATTACTACAGTGGGGTATTTTTTTATATAACCAACATAAAGGAGACTATTTATCTATAGCTAAAAATGAAGCCTGAAATATGTGATGGATAATAACAATTACACTAATAATAATAACTTAAAGATTTTAAAGGTTTTACTATGTTTTTTTATTGATGGTTTTTTATTGATGGTTTAAAATTATTTGAATCATTTAATTTAAGATGGATCTCTAGAGTTTTTAGTACAACTCGACAACTTTCCTACTACTAAACTTTCCTACTACTAAACTTTCCTACTACTAAACTTTCCTACTACTAACCTTTCCTACTACTAAACTTTCCTACTACTAAACTTTCCTACTACTAAACTTCCCTACTACTAAACTTTCCTACTACTAAAACTTTCCTACTACTAAACTTTCCTACTACTAAACTTTCCTACTACTAAACTTCCCTACTACTAAACTTCCCTACTACTAAACTTTCCTACTACTAAAACTCTCCTACTACTAAACTTCCCTACTACTAGAAACTCTGGCTACCATTTTCTGGAAAAAAGTTTCAATTAAACATTAAAATAATTTTCAAAGTTTTAAAAAACACTTTTACAAGACTGTGATAATCCTTGATATTTGATACACCATCATTAAAACTAGGTTTTCATGAGTCTCCTGACACCATCGTTTTCACCAGGTTTCCATGAGTCTCCATACATACAAGTTTAGATATATAATTTTTGAAGATAATTGTTTTTTAAGCTTTTTCACTCATCACTCTTACAAAAATTTAGAAATGTTTCAACAAAAAAAAGTTAGGACTAACTCAGCTAAAAGCAAAATTAGGAGGAAAATATGCTCTGGATACTTTACCCAAACAATTTTCCGGATTTTTAAAATAATACCTGGATGATCTATGAGGTTAGCACCATTTTTGAACCGCAATAGAAAGTACCAACTAAATTAATTAGCTTTTAAAAAAATACTTGAAGGTTTCAGATTTCATGGCATAGAGGAATCAAAAAAATTTTTATCTAATTAAATCTCAACATAACTTGTATGTTTTTTTTGCTCAAAAATTTTAAAAACTCTTTGTCAAGGTTGTAAATAATGACACAATCAGTATGTTGTATTTATTTACGCAAACTTTCAAGACCAGGATTGCTGTTAAAGCTCAACATTTTGTTGGTTTTTCCAGGAGATTCTAAATTTATTTTTAAAGGTATTAGCATAGTATTAGCCAGGATTGGTATTGATTAAATCAAATGCAGAAATTACTTAATCATGACAAAAAAATCAAATCAATAATTTTTTGTCTGAATACTCATATTTTGTTTGAATACTCATATTTTCCTGATTTTTCAATGATTTTTGATAGTTTTTCAATCTCTTATTTACCTATACATTTATATACTGTACCTATTTATATTTATTTATTGTATTTTATACATTTACATTTTCTGTATTTACATTACTAATTTAATTACATAGTATTGTAAAAAAAAAGACAGACATCTGTGACAATTTTTTTGAGTTATAATGGCATTTGCACTCTAAGTCATTTGTTTCTCATACCAAGTGCTATGATTTAAATTAAACCATTACTAATTAAATACTTGTCAGAAAATTGTATAAATTTAATGAAAGACAGTATTAAAATATAATAATAATAAGTAACTACTGTCATTACTCATTATTGTGACAACTGACTGTCATTACTCATTATTGTGGCAACTGGCTGTCATTACTCATTATTGTGGCAACAGACTGTCATTTCTCATTATTGTGACAACAGACTGTCATTTCTCATTATTTGACAACTGACTGTCATTTCTCATTATTGTGACAACTGACTGTCTGTAAAGTGTAAAATATTAACTTTTTTTAACTAGTATTTATTAACTTAAATAGTAAAGTTACTAAAGTTGCTATGTAGAAAGGAGATTGGCAAAAAGATGCTATTTGGGCAGAACTTAAAGAGGTTGAAATTACACAGGTAAAAGGTACAAGAGCTAGATGTAATGTTGGTGGAATTGAGTTTCAAGGATTAGTCCAATGTTTGCAAAATCATAAAGAAAAATGTAAAGGAGCATCAAATGAAATATCAGCTGATGAGCAGGGAATCGAATAAGAAGTTCTTGACATAGAAAATTCAGGATCTCTAGCCACAGGCTAGAACTACTCTAACTGTAGAGTGTACAAAAGATTTTAAACTGTAGTCTAAGTGTGTCAAGTCAAACAACCATACTCTCGTGTTAAGTATTATATACACCTAAGTATTATGAAACTCTAACTGACTTACTATCTACTCTTTAGTCTCTAGCATCTAAGTCTTGAGTGTATACCATACTGTGTTTAGTAAAAAAATAACTAGTTAGCATCTAGTATGTAACTAGCTATATGAATCAGTTTAAACTTAAACTTTCTTTTTTCTAGATTAAGGTGTATTACTGATATGACTGCTAGTAATAATTGCTGAATTCAGTGAAATTCATTAAATAAGTGATGGAGTATTTGACTGTCCTTATTTGGACTTGTCAAGAGATCAAGGTAGTTGTACATTACAACTAGATTGAAAGAATGCATGTTCAAGTGTGTATAGCACTTTCAGTCCCAGGTCAAGAAGTTCAATTGTTAGTACTACATTCTATGATCACACGATTATCTGCTTCCTCCACACATTTGTGAGAAATTAGGGAAGCTGGTCTGTCTACACTTTTGAATCTATCATAAAAAAGAAGTCACTCTGGAACTTAAGCAGGGTGTGTACCATCACAACCTAATAGTAGTAGTAGTAGTAGTAGTAGTAGTAGTAGTAGTAGTAGTAGTAGTAGTAGTAGTAGTAGTAGTAGTAGTAGTAGTAGTAGTAGTAGTAGTAGTAGTAGTAGTAGTAGTAGTAGTAGTAGTAGTATAGGTTGTTCCTAGAACTAAAACACATCATCTGTGAACTCAAATGGTTAGCACATCACTTATAAAAGAAATGAATTCAAGTTCATCTATAGGGTCATTTTTAAATAAAACTACAATTCAAGACAAAATTAAGTTTGATAATATTTTTCCTAAAATGATTTCTGTCACTAATTCTCCTTTCAGAATCGAATGAAAAGAAGTTGTTTATAGAAATTGTTAGTGCGTTGAGACCTGGTTACAAACTTTCAAGCAGAAAACCAAAAGTAGGGAAGTTACTAAATGAACTATTTCACTCAGAATCTCAAAATATGTTAATATTTTGAGATTCTGAGTGCAATTGTTCTATTTTGAGATTTTGAGCTGCAAATATGTTAAATGGTCATTGTATGCTACTCAGACAACAGTGAGTTTCAACTGGTAGATACCTCAGATATGTTAAGACATTACCATAATGTTGAATATTTTTTGGAAAATGCAAAAGTTTCGATTAGAACTGCATTGACAAATTTTAAATTCAAAGTTGTTAAAAAAAGTCATTAATACAAACTTTAAATGTAATGCAGAAGAAATGCGGAAAATTTTAAGACATGTTTCTGTTTCATTGGATAAAGTTCAAAGTGATAAATATGATATTGGTAAAGCAACGGAAGTGTGAAAAAACCTAAAAATGATGTTGGAGTTTGTTGGACCAAATCATAAAAATGCATCTGTGATCAAGAATGTTGAAAAGCAAATGAATCAAGCTAATAGTTTATTAATAAAAAGCTTACAAAAGTCTAAGCGCTAATGAAGAAGATTTTGCTCTGGAAGGGACCCACAATAAATTTCCTATTAGCATATTATTGATAATGAGATACAAAACCAATATACCACTTTTTTTTCCAATCATGTTTTCAAATATCTCAACAAAAGTTGGTTTACTGGTTTGGTATCTTTGGAAAGGAAGTATTCTACTGAACTAGAGCTTATGTCAAAACTATTCTCAACAACTGCTTATTCCTCTGGAGTAAACCCTGGAGTGCTTACCCCTTCTTTTTTTGTTTTTTCTTATTTGGACTCATTTATTCAAAGATTAGAAATTGATTAGGGGTTTATAAAACACATAAACAAGTTTTTAAGATTAGATACTACTGCTGCTGATGAAGCAGCATTCTGTAGTTATATTTAATATACAAAATATCTGAAAATGCTACATTATGATTTAATTCTTTCATTTCTTTAAATTTATATACAGTGCTATAAATGTAATACTGTAGTATAATACATATGTTTACTTAAAAGATTTTTTATTTCAATCACTAAGTTATAAAGAAGAAAAATTAGATGTAGTTTTATATCTTGGGATCACAACTAATAATCCTGTGAAAATTCTGTTAAATATTTTGAGTTCTGGGATTTTGGAGTATTGAAATTGCTTGTAATATTCCACATAGACACTCCACGTCTAATATAATATTTTTTAATTTTTCATATTTTTACATATAACATTTTTTTTATTAGGCTGACCCATATTTAGTATGTAGTCTTGGTAAAAAAAAGTACAATGACAAAGATAAATATGTATCTAAACAGCTTTCACCTGAATTCGGAAGGTTTTTTATATATATATATTTTATTTTTTATATATATAAATATATATATATTTATGTTTAATTAAAAATTGTTTTTATTATTTTTTAAATTGTTTCTAAAAATTGTTTTTAAGGTGTTTTGAATTTAAAGCTGTTATTCCCTTTGACACTGTGGTTCGAATAGATGTGATGGATTGGGATATGCTAGGTTCAAATGACTTAATTGGTTCAACTGAAATTGATATTGAAGATCGATTCTTTAGCAAGCATAGACCTTCATGTGGAATTCAGCTTAATTATATAAAGTAAATTTTGTTTTATAAATAATAGTTTGCCTTTTTTTAAAAACATGTGTTAGTAGTTTTTGTGTTGTGCCTCTGTATTTTTTTTTTCTTATTATAGTTTTTTGGTTTGTTTTTTTGACAACCCTAATTCGTATCTCCAGAGTCAAGTAGCCCAGGGTTTTTTTATATTCAAGTTCAGATTTTTTTTTTGTTGGTTAAAAAAATGAAAATGATAAATAAAAATATATAATCTTAATTGCGATATCATGAATATTTTTTACCAGATGTTTATTAAGAAAAGAATTAGTAACCAATGAAAATATTCATAGCAGAGATTCAGTTTGTTTTCATAGAAAATCTCTATTAAACATTGAATTTCTAATTTAGCACATTTTTTAATACTCAAAAAAACAATTTATTTTTGTGGTAATGTTTTAAAAAATTGAAGAGTTACTGAATTTAGTTGGTGTAGTCAAGAATTTAGTTGATGTAGTCAAGAATTAATTTCAACAATCTCCTGAGTTGAACACTAGCTTGAACACAAGCTAGTTCTATATGTTTGCAAACAATGTATGACAATGTTGACCTGATTTTTTTTATTTATTATTTTATAGATTTAAGGACCTGTTGGTTTGTTTCTGGTACAATAGTTTTTCCAAAGACAGATAGCAAGTTTTTTATACACAAGCAAAAAGTACATGGTGTTAAATAAATCAAACTTAACTGGTTCTTAACATATATCTAGTTTTACTTATCAATTTATAAAAAAAACTATTATCTTACCAGTATGTCTGAATTTAATTCAGAAGCATACCAAGAAGCTTAGGATTTTAATCTTAAAGGAACTTGAAATCTTGTTTAGTTTTTTTCTTTATTTTTTATCACCAACAAATTTTCCATTCGTGTAAAGACAAATATGTAGCTTTGATAGTTCTGCTTTTATTATCTTCCCTCTTTGTAGTCAACTGTTCAGAAGGTCTTGAAGATATAAAAAAATTTTCAGAAGGTCTTTAAGACGTGAAAGATGAGTATATAAAGTAATTTACTGTTGTTTTAGTTATACTAGCTATAACTGTGTTCTTTGCCAACCACAGTATGAGCAGTTTTGAGTCTCAATCGTAAAAAGCAGTTAAAGCAACAAAGTTCTTCTTCAAAAAATAAAGTTAATATCTTTAGAGTCCACTAATGTGCTATCTGCTTCAGACTATTTTTGAAGTTTTTGTTATTTTTTGCTTTGTCATCCACAAGTTTTTGCGATATTGTAATACAGCAGGTTGTTATGAAAGTCTTTATTTAAATTGCTTTTATAAGTTAGTTTATTTTTATATATATAATCAAAAACTTAACAAACACTCCACAAAAATGGCTGAAACCATGAAAACACTTATAAAAAGCATATTTTGAAACCATGAAAACACTTATAAAGAGCATACTTTGAAACCATAAAAATACTTATAAAAAGCATACTTTGAAACTATGAAAACACTTTTAAAATGCATACTTTAAAATCATAAAAATACTTATAAAAAGCATACTTTGAAACTGTGAAAACACTTATAAAAAGCATACTTTGAAACCATAAAAATACTTATAAAAAGCATACTTTGAAACTGTGAAAACACTTATAAAAAGCATACTTTGAAACCATAAAAACACTTATAAAAAGCATACTTTGAAACCATGAAAATACTTTTAAAAAGGATACTTTGAAACCATAAAAATACTTATAAAAAGCATACTTTGAAACTATGAAAACACTTTTAAAAAGCATACTTTGAAACCATAAAAATACTTATAAAAATCATACTTTGAAACTATAAAAACACTTTTAAAAAGCGTACTTTGAACCATAAAAATACTTATAAAAAGCATACTTTGAAACCATAAAAACACTTTTAAAAAGCATACTTTGAATTATTTTTTCTTTAATTTTTACTTTTTACTTTGTTGGTATAAGATTCAAAGTTTTTTTGAATTTCTGCAGAAGATAAGATGTCGCAAAAATTCTTTAATAGTAGCAAACTTGTTTGTTGGTAAACAGTTATTTAACTAAAAATGTTTTTCTGCTTTATTTTTTCTTACTGTTTTTAGGTGGAATATCATTTTTACTTTGAAAAGTTTTTTAATTTCTCATATTTTAATAACATACAGTATGTCAAAAAATTCACCCCCGGATGATTTTTCAATAAAAACAATTTTTATATTCTTAAATTTAGATTTTTAACCCAAATTTTTTTTTAATATTGAATTTATATCAAAAAATATTTTTATAACAAGAAATTAATATTCTTATACTTAAAGCAAAAATTATCCACTAAATTAGAAAAGATCACCCCTTAAATAATTATTTTGCTAATATAAAACTAATAGTCTATTTGTGCGCCTTTTGCTTTAATTACTGCAAGACATCTTTTAGACATTGAATCTACTAAGATTTTTAATAATTGTGGGTCAAATTTTTCCCACTCCTCAATAAGAATCGCTTTTAATTGCAACTAACAAATTGCATGATGGATGGTTTTTGATCAGCTACTTTAATTTTAAAAAGACTCCATAAATTTTCAATCGGATTTAGGTCTGGTGATTGAGGAAACCAATCTAACATCTTAATACCGTTTTTTTTTTAACCACTTTAGAGTAGCTAACTTTGATATGTGCTTAGGATCTTCATCCTGTTAGAAGATAAAATTACGAGATAAGCCCGCACTTCTGGCATTTGATCTTTATTTTCGTTTCATAATATCAGAGCAACTCTGCCTACAAAACCTTGATTTTTCAAGCAATTGCAAACAGTTTGAGGATTTACAATTATACCATGATTTGTTTGTAAATCTTTTACTACCTTTGGTGCAGATAATCCTCGATCTTGTTCAACTTTTTGAATAATTTCTCTATCAATTCGTAAAGTAGTCTTAGCTGGGCGTCCTTTTCTAAAGAAAAGATAAAGAAAAGAAAATTAAAATGTTTAGACCCTGGTATCAAAGTGGTAAAAAATAAGAAAAAGTTTTTGACAAACTGGCATTTTAAATTTATAATAATATCAGCTTTTATCTATGTCAATGTTTGTGTTTTTCAGTTTTTGTAAATTAAAATTAGTTTAAAAAAAGGTTATCAGTAACAAAAGACAAAAAAGTAATTTTAAAATTATTTTAGTCATGGATATGCTGCTTGGAGAGATCCACAGAAACCAGCTGCTATTTTATCTAAACTCTGTAAAGAATATGGTATTGATGGCCCATATTTTAATGATGGTGCTGTTTTTCTGGATGGCAAAATATGGCATGCTTCACCTTTTATTTTAGATGAAAAAGGTAGAACTTTTATAATTTCAAAATTTTTAATTGGTATTATTGTATTATACTGATAATAAGTAATTTTAAATACTATTTATTGTCAGTTTTAGTTTATGAGTGCTAGTGTTAATGGGTGATGGTTAAGTACCAAACCTGCTTATACAACAAAGTTAAAAAAAAAATAGTTTATATTAAAAAATGATTTATGTAGTGTTTCTTTGCACCAAAATACTATAATTAAACTTTTCATGTGCGCTTACAAGTGCGCTTCAAGTGAACTACAATTACTTTTAAATTTTTCGGTTTAATGGCTTTTGTTAAAAACTAATAATGTACCTTTTTTTATTTTTAATGATTTATAAAAAGAAAGTGTTCTTCTTATATAATATGTTAAGTTATAAATAAAAATAATAGCCATTTTGAAATAGGTAGCCATTTTAAAACAGGAATTGTAAAATAAAATGTATTTGTACAAAAAAAAATGTATAGCAAGGTCATTTGCTATACATTTTACACTAAAAATGACCCTTAATAAAATAGACCAGCTTAATAGATCTTAACTACAACCTCTTACACAATTTTTTTATAAATACCTGTTTAAAAATGGCTATCTATTTCAAAATGGCTACCATTTTTTTTTATACTTTATTATATTACATAACAAAAATTCTTTTTCTTATAAATCATTATTAAATTAAAAAAAAGGTACATTATAACACAACAGCACATCCATCCAGACTTTTGATTTTATTGTTAGACATTTTTCTTCCTGTTACGATCTTTACTTCCAATACATAGTAAAAGGAGTTAAACAAAGTTTATGGATGACATTTTTATCATTATCAAAGTTTATGGATGACATTTTTATCATTAAAAACTGATTTGATGACTTAGTTTTTGTATTTGAAATAATAAATTATTTGTTTATACTTGGTTTATGATTTTTTTTTTTTTAGATTTTTTTGGATAATTAGAGATTTAAACAGTTTTATCATTTTTTTCAATGTTATTTTCTCAATTTAAATATATATATATACTATAGCAGCCAAAAGTCATGGTTACAGTGGTTTTTAACTACAGTTTTACCAGTTTTAATTGAAAACAACTTCCATAGATTGATATTTATTACCTAAAACATCATAGATTGACAAGAATAACAAAATAAATTCATATTTACATAAAATTCACACAAAATTTTAATATTTAGTGTGTCCACCATGCACGCGAAGGCAGGCTCTAATACGGCGCGGCATTGATTCTATCAGATTTCGAATCTGAGTAACTGAAATCTGCGACCACGTTACTTCAAGCAACTGCCAAAGCTGGTCAAAAGTGCTTGGTTTTGAATCCTGCACCTTTCTGAAGAGGATTTCCCACATATGTTCTATGGGGTTGAGGTCTGGGCTTTGAGCAGGCCAGTCCATCACCTGTACATTCTCATGCCTCAAAAAATCAGACACTGTCATCGCCTTATGACAAGGTGCATTGTCATGTTGAAATACAAACCTCCTGTTCGCACCAAAAATGGTTCTAGCAGAAGGCAGCATATGATTTTTGAGGATGTTAAGGTACTCGATCTGATTTACAGTACCATTACAGCGGTACAACTGCCCTACTCTCGACCAAGACATGCAACCCCATACCATGAGGGAACCCCCTCCATGCTTTACTGTTGGAGCAATGCAGTCTTTGTGATACTTCTCACCTATTCTCCTCCTAACCAAGACTCGCCTTGCTCCACAGAAAAGCTGAAAGGTGCTCTCATCGCTCCAAAGCACCTTCTTCCAGTCTTCGGCAGTCCAGTCCTTATGCTCCTTCGCAAATCGCAGTCTCTTCAACTTATTAGCCTTAGATAAGAGAGGCTTCTTGGCTGCAACTCTGCCATGCAGACCTGCATTTTTCAGTCTGCGTCGTATGGTACTCGCACCTGTAACGACCCCCATCTCAGTTTGCAATCGAGCGCGCAGGTCAACGGCTGTCTGGCGACGATTCTCGAGACACATCCGAATCAGTGCTCGGTCCATCCTCGGTGTGGTTTTCTTCGGTCGCCCAGACCTTGGTAAATCTCCGACACTACCCGTCTGTCTCATCTTCTTTACTATTCTAGCAACAGTATTTACACCTATGCCCATCTCTTTGGCGATCACCCGATAAGATTTGCCTTCTTCTGCCTTTACGAAGGCTGCCATTCTGTCCTGAATGCTCAGCTTGTTGTATTGACTCATGGCTATTCAGCAAAATCTATAAAAATAATTAATACTTTAGTCACTTAAATCATAGTATAAACAATTATAACAGTAAGACAAACATATCTGCAGTGTTTTAAACAGGTTTAGGTAATGTTCAATATTTTATTATTATTTTTAAAATAATTTTCACTATTTATTCAGAAATATTCTTCTAAATCAATACTTAATGTCTAAAAAATTACCACATCATCTCTATTATCACTCATTCATTAAAAAATTACTATCTACTATTTCTACAACTGTTTGTTTACAAAATACATTATGTAATAAATAGTTACAATATTGTTTCTTACCTTTGTGTAAATCTAAAATTTTGTTTTTACATAGAATGCTCAAACTGTTATATATAAATCTGCAATGAATTAATAAAACTCTATTTTTATCGGTTTGTCAATGTAAACAACAGTGTTCTATTAATAGCACATTCACGATGACACGTTCTGGGCATACTAAAAGCCTAAATAAATGACTACATGACAAGAATTGTATTGAACTCTAAAATAAAACTGCTGTAACCATGACTTTTGGCTGCTATAGTATATATATATATATATATATATATATATATATATATATATATATCACTTATCTTTATCATGCATAAAATTATCACTATGACTTGTATTTTCTGTTAAATTTTTTCTAAATCTCCATATTTTTCTCTTACACAATTCTCATACTGATATTTTTTTCAATTTTGCAATAACTTGCAACTCTGGAAAATAGAGTGCTCAATGTTCTTAAAAGAATAGAGCAATAATAAATTAGCAGAAAATCACTTATCAAGTTTAGTTTACATAGTATTTCATTGAAATGAAACAGTGTAAAATAAAAAAAGCTTGATAAATGATTTTCTACAAATTTAATTTAAAATCTTCCTTGGTAACTTAAAAAAACATGCTTATTTCTAACAATCCGAAGTTTCTTTAATGGAACTTGTAGAATACATAGGATGTGTATGACAAATTGTTAAAACAAAATTATATGTTTAATCATAGTGCTACAAGAATATCGCCACTAAAAATATCGCTACTAAAAAAACTGAGAAAAGATTATATAAAATGGCTCTCAAAACTTTAGTTACAAGACGAATTTGACAGGATGACTTGATTCAAAGTACAAGTTATTCAGTAGAATTAAAAAAGTAAATTTAATTAATAAAATTTTGGCAAGAAGTTATTAACCAGCAAAAGGTCATCAAATGAAATATAATTACAAAATAACTATTTTTTTGCCTTGGCATTATTTTTTAACAAATATTGCATTTTTTTAATGGAATTGACTAATGCTATTTCTGTGAACTCTTTTAAATTTGACATATGGATTTTAAATGATGTAACTATGCTGAATAATGATATAACTGTTTAAGTCTACTTGGTACACTCACTAAATTATTGTTCACAGTTCAAATATATTACTATTACTATAATAATAGTTACAACATAAATATATAATAATAATAACTTTTTTATGTCTGTTATAGATGTTAAAGATAACTTATTTTTGATTATTATTATATTTTAAATTTTGGTAAATAACCCTTTATTATTAGGAAAAGAAAAAATTTCTGATGAACCTGTAGCTCTAGAAGCTTTACATCATTTTGAAGAATTAGCTCCAAAAGGATTTAAGCTTGTGCCTGAACACGTAGAAACCAGATCATTGTTTAATCCAGAAAAAAAAGGAATTGAAATGGTATGCTTTGATAATATTTTTGATAGCAAACTTTTTTATAGTAGTAAAACCAATAAAATGTCAGAGAGGATTATTGTCATTTTAAAATAGTCAGTATTATTCTTAGTTTATTCATGCTATTAGACTTATCCTAGTGATATTTCAAGTCACAGTGTAAATATTTTCCTTGTGATATTCCAAGTCACAAATATATTTAATATTCCTAGTCACAGTGTTATTCCTTGTTACAGTGTTATTCCTTGTCATAGTGTTATACCTTGTTACGTGTTATTCCTTGTCACAGTGTTATTCCTTGTCTTAATGTTATTGTATATGTTGCAGAAACAGAAATAATAAAATATATATTTTTATAAAAAGCTTTATTAAATAGACTTCATTATAATGTATTTGGTGTATAATTTCAGGGCAAAGTTCAAATGTGGATTGATATGTTTCCTATGGAATTAACTATGCCTGGTCCACCAGTTGATGTTTCAGTTAGAAAGCCTACTGAATATGTTCTCAGAGTTACTATATGGAATACCTCAGATGTTTTACCTTCTGATACTAATATTATCTCTGGAGAAACTAGCAGTGATCAGTATGTTAAAGGATGGTTGGAAGGAAACAGAGAAGATATTCAGCAGACTGATGTTCATTACAAGTGTTTTATTTTTTTTTTGACGGATTAATTTGTTTTATTTTATTTATTTACTTATATACTTTATTTTTGTTTTATTTTGATTTTTTAATTGATTTAATTATTTTAAAATTTTCTTTATATATATTAACTAATGATAACTGTATTATACCCAAAACATGTATTTTAAATTAGTAAACAAAATATTTCATAATACAGATATATAATAGATACATAACTGCATATTAAAAAAGTAATTTAATAAGTTTTTTGAATTATAAAAAATGTTTACTGCTTATACTAATATATATATATATATATATTATAAATATATTATATAGCTATATGTATTTCTTTTAGATCAATGGATGGTTCTGCTATGTTTAACTGGAGGTTTATATTTTCCTTTATGTTTCATAAAGCTGAAGAAAAAATTGTCACATTTAAAAAAGCAAACATCTTTTCCATTGATCTCACAGAAGAAAAGCATAAACCTTATCTTTACTTACAAGTATGGGATGCTGATTTGTTTTCAGCAGATGACTTTATTGGTTAGTTTCGTTGTTATTTTTACTTTTTCAGTGTTTTGTTGGGTATTTTTTTGCATAAATTAACATGTCTTGTTATAAAGAATGATTGAAGTAAAAAATTTAATATTTTATTACAGGCGATGTAGTTTTATCACTAACCAGACTTCCATCACCAGCCAAAACTGCAAAAGGTTGCAAATTAGACATATTAAATAAAAATCATCCTTGCGCTTCATTGCTAAAAATGAAAAATTGTAGGGGATGGTGGCCGTTTCAAGTGAATCCTGAAGATGATGATGATCCTGATCCTATTTTAGCTGTAATTAATTAAATAACTTAATAAATTAAATATAATTGTTTTTGTTAACAAAAAGTAATTTTTTTTTTTTTATTTGAAGGGTAAAGTTGAAGCTGAGCTAAATCTTTACACCAAAGAAGAAGCAGAAGCTATGCCAGCCGGGAAAGGACGTGAAGAACCTCTCCCTCTTGAAAAACCTAAGTAAGATTAATCTTTCTTTAGAAACCTAAGTAAGATTAGTTAAACTTTCTTTAGAAATATCCAAGTCATTAAATTGGATATTATATTGCTTTATATAGTTTTATCAAAAAATATAAATTTGATTAAAATAATATTAATGTAAATAAATATATATACAGTCTCTTGCAAAAGTTTAGAATCAGTTTTGTATTTTTTCAGGTAAATCCATAATTTATTGAAAATGACATACACAAAGATAACTTAATTTATGTTATACACTTTAAGAAAAAATCTGTTATATACAACGAACTGCATCGGATTAAAATTTTAATGGATCGATTGTTAATATTAGTCCACTAAAATTACAGATTTATTCCATTCGTGCAACAAACAATTACTTAAAATATAGGAATTATTACGTTAGGCAGCTTTTGTTGTTTTGATTAAATAAAGAATTTACTAGGTCATCGTATTGAATATTTATTTTTCCCTTTATTAAAATTAGAAAGGAATTAAGCCAGATAGAGCTGAGATTTCATTACAAATGAAGTCCTTATTTTTAATATATAGATTATTTTATTATGATATTCAACATCTGGTACTAGCAGTAATACAAACTAACTTTATCGTTTACTAATATGATCATATACAATTATTAGTATACAAACTAACTTGATCGGGAGAGACTTTTTAGAAAGCTTTAAAAACGTTTTAACTTTTAAATTGAAAACTAACTAAATATTTTTAATAATTTAATTCAGTATAGAAACTTTCAGTAACAATAAAAATTAAAAAATTTAAATAAAATTATAAAAAGTTTTTAATATATATTTTATTAACACAGTTATTATATTCAAGGTCAAAAAACATTTATATAAAAAACAAAGACATGTATACAATTGTTACTATACTAGTTTTCAATTTTTAATACTGTTATAAATTCATGTGTGTGCCCATTTCAATTCCAGCAACCTCTTTTATTTAAAGATAAACTAACCTTAAGACAATAAAGAAATTATTGAAAATAAATGATACACTATAATACAAAATGGAATTAAATTTTTACTAATTACCCTGTAAAAAACATTTGTTGCTAGTTTATCTTTAAATAATTGACAACCTGTTGTTGATTATTTAAAGATAAACAAACCCTAAAACAAAATAAAGAAATTGTTAAATATAAATGATATACTATAATACAAAATGGAATCAAATTTTTACTAATAACCCTGTAAAAAAAAAAATTTGTTGCTAGTTCTTTATTTCTAAATTGCTTATAAAAATTATGTTATTTTATTAGTTCTACATTTCAATGTATTAACAAAAATTAAATGCGCTACAAAAGATAACCTTACCTGCTAAGTGAAAAGTTCTACACACATCAAGAATAAAAGAAAAAAAAGTCTCTCACCTTTTTGTTTAATAATAATAAACACGTTAAAAGTAATAATATTAGAATTTAAATTTGATACCTTATGCCTGAATGCCACATGTCTAAAGTAGCAAGTTATATGCAAATATAAACAAGCAATATACAAACTTAGTTGTAACTTACAAAAAAATTGCAAGTAAAAAAATAGTTTTACAACTAATTTAAACTTACAGTGTGATATAACAAGATATGTGTCTAAAATAGCAAATTATAAAACTTAAATATACAAATTATAACAATCCATATATAAAATTTCCTGTAACTAGCCTAAATAAATACCCATAAAAAAATGCAAGTAAACATTTTACAACTGATTTATTTTACAACTGATGAAACTTACAGTGTGATATTGCATGCCATGTGCCTAAAATAGTTAATTATAAATAAATTATATGTAAAATTAGCTGCAACTAGCCTAAATCAATATACCCATTAAATTAAATGCAAGTAAACATTTAAATTTGATACCTCATGCCTGAATGCCACGTGTCTAAAGTAGCAAGTTCAATACAAATATAAACAAGCAATATATAAACTTATTTGTAACTAACATAAAAAAATTGCAAGTAAAAAAAAATAGTTTTAACTAATTTAAACTTACAGTGTGGTATAGCATGACACGTGTTTAAAATAGCAAATTATAAAACTTAAATATACAAGTTGTAACAATCCAACTTTGCTGTAACTACCCTAATAAATACCTATAAAAAAAATGCAAGTAAACATTTTACGACTGATGAAACTTATAGTGTGAAATTTCATACCACGTGTCTAAAATTGCAATCTATAAAAGCATATAAACTAGCTCTATGTAAACATAGCTGCAACTAACCTTAATAATGATATCCATCAAAAGAAATGTTAACATTTTTAATTTTACAACTGATTTAAATTCAGATCGTAAGTTACTACATGTCACGTTTAAAATAGAAAATTATACAAGAATATATACAAGTCTTAGAGTCTATATTATAGAAATAATTGTTTTACTAACCCTTTAGTTTATCATATAAAAAATTTAAACATATTCAATGCTTTATATAGAAAATTTAAAATAAGTTAAACAACCTTCAAAATTACAAATAACAGAGTGTAATTTAAATTGTGTTTATCTATTTGCTTTCTCTTCTAAAATTTAGTTAAAAAAGCAAATGGATAAATACAATTTATATTACGCTTTTTTTAAATAGCTTCACATTTAGTTGAAATGTGAAGCTATTTAAAAAAAAAAAGCAAATTAAACTTATTGCAACAAACCTTTTATCTGCGACAGAAGTGTGGTAATATATTGACAAATCTAAATCAAACAAACAAGATTTAAAAATATAATCTACAGAGGAAACGCTTCGTAATTTTTTATGGAATTTTTAATAAAAAGTTCAGTTGTTTTTCAACGGATTTGAATATTTACGAAATACTTTAATTTAACTGAAAAAAACAATCCGTTGCTTTTTCTAACGGATTGTTTTTAGAGTGTATACATATAAGGGTATGTATATAACATAAATTAAATCTTAGCTATGTATATGTCATTTGTGTATGTCGTTTTCAATAAATTATGGGTTTACCTAAAAAATACTGATTCTAAACTTTTGCAAGAGACTGTATTTTAATATCTTGAATTCATTAAAAATATTTGTTTCCACTTTATATGAAGAATTGTTATGAGGTTTACTTGAATATTAATTGATTTAGCCGACCAAACGATAGCTTTTTCACGTTGATGGGACCATTAACAATGCTGCGTTACATGATCTGGGAACCATATAAGTTTGTTATACTTAAATTGCTTGTTGTTGCTATTTTGGTTGCACTATTAGCTTTATTTTTTTACTCAATGCCAGTAAGTTACTTTTTATTTAAACACTTTATAACTTGTAACACGGGTTTTAAATGTTTTTAATGCCTCATTTACACCGGTTTTATATAAAATTCTAACTCTATTATTCTAAACGCGTTTTACATTTGAGTATACTCCATTTACACCGGCAATAATTCAAGTTTTAACTGTCGTAATTTAAAATATAAAACTGGTTTTAATTCAGTTGCAGAATTTTAGAGAATTTTAAAAGTTGTTTAAAAAAAAAAAAATTTCTTTAGGTTGTTTTAATAAAAAATTAAGATTTAAATACACTCTTTATTATTTTCTATAAACATAATTTAATTAAACCTAATTTTGAACATGGATTTATGAAAATTTATCATACATGCATGATGGAATTTTTGGCAAACTTCAAATGTGAAATAATTTGAAACTTTTTTATGCTGTTGTTATTCACTGTTGTCAAGTAATAATGTTTTAAAAATAAAATTAAAGCCTTTAATAATTATAGGAATAGAGGTTGGGAGGGAAAATACCCTAAGTTTTCTACCTAAGACCTCAATCCTAAACTCTTTGCGAGGCGAATAATGTTTAAGAAAATTTGCGTTATATTAAAATAAAATAAAATTCATTAAAGAATTCAAGTTCATCACAAATGTCTTGGTGTTTTAAAATAACCACGTAAAATTTTTTAACGTCTTTAATTAGGGAGGGAGAGATTTCTTTAAATCGCAAAGGTTTGGCTTGGATAAATTAAATGATTTTAATCAAAGTTCTGTTTAATGACGTCGTAAAAGGATTTCTTTAATGTGCGTAAATGCAGGTTTGGTGTGGCATTTTCAACTCATTACTTGGACCATATTTAAAAAAATATTTAAAACGGCTTTAAATAAAAAGCAGAGTATAAAACTTATTTTAAACAACATGGTGTTGTTTTAATAAGATAAAATTAAGACATGTTATATTTAAACGCATATTTAGTGTGAATGGAGTATATTTCTTAAAGTTTCGTCACACGCACATTCATTCAGGAGTGGTGTCAGAAAGTTTATATATATATATATATATATATATATATATATATATATATATATATATATATATATATATATATATATATATATATATATATTATTTATTTTATTTAATATTTAAAATAAAAGTTAAAAGCTTTCGAAAAAAATTTTATAAACGTGTTGTATTGATTCCTAAAGTGAAATATGTTTGTCAACGTCGACGATTTAACTTTTGGTTGGAGAACATAAAATGCCCCTTCCTTTTTTCCAAATGACGCCACTCCTGGTTTCATTTCTTGCTACATAAATACGAGATTATTATTTGTATTGATCATTCGAACTCCTTTGCTGCGTATTTTTTAGGGGTATCTTGTGAAAAAAATTTTTGGAGCTTAGTCTTTAAAACGCAAAATTTGAGTTTCTGATTGATAAACCGGTTGAGCTTTCAGATTTTTATGTTGGTTTCATTGAAGAATAAACGGGTATATCCTATGCTGAAAATGTTTGTAATTATCCTATGCTGAAAATGTTTGTAATTTAGGGTTACCTCGTACAGAAATTATTTCAAGCTTAGCCACAATGTAACAAAAAGTATTTAATATCCAACATTCAATTGATATTTTATATTTTTATTGTTATCGCATAACTTGTTATTGGTATTTATTGTTCGCTTTTGGACTTTTATAATATAAAATTTATAATAAAATTACTTTAAAATATTTCGTAATAATGTTTATATTGTTTTGTTATTGACATTTTGAAATTTAATTTTTAAAAAAAAACGCAATAAAAAACAAGTATTTTATAGCTAATTTTTTTTACAATTTTTTGTAAAACATATTTTTATAAATTATACTATGCTTTTTAAATTTCATTTCTTTGTATATTTTTTTTTATTTTATTTTGAGCCTTAATTTAACTTTTCAACTTTATATTTGATGTTTTTGACGCATTAGTTTTAATAAACTAAATTTAACGAAGTTATATTTGAAATTTTTAGAATATTTTTTATTTATTTTGTAAATTATCTAACAATTTTATTATTTATGTATTTCTATGCTGTCATTATTTATATTGTTCCTGTGTTATTGTCAATAACGAAAGAAAGGCGTCACCCAATTGAGAAATAGTTTAGCAAATTTTTTTTTGCTGAAGTATAAAATTATATATTATATTAAAATATTAAATTTTTTAATATTTTGTTAAAAGTTTAAAGGTATTAAAGTCATAATAATATTTGGTTTCATTAGTATTAATATTTGATTTCATTAGTTTTTTCAATAAGTTTTCAATAAAAAATGAATATGTAATCAGTCAAATATTAAAAGCAAAAATTATTTATATATATTTTTTTAATAAGAATTGAAATTTGCTTAAAAAAACCTGCTAATTTCGAACAGAGGAAACGATAAAAGATACACGTGGTCTCAGAAACGATAAAAATATGCTTGCTAAGATTAGTTTTCTGAATGATAAACAAACTATAACAGCAAAATTGCTCAAAAGCTTTATGACAACGCGTTAACGATTTTTAATGGATGCGTAGTGATAGATGATGAAACATGTGAAATTTAGTTTGCAGAACAAAAATTGTGCAGGTGTGAAGATAAATACACTTTAATTTTCGTATTCTACCCTCCAAAACATTAGTAGCCAAATGAAAAAAAATATTTTTTCAACTTCAATTACTGAATACAGCAACTTTTCTGAAAAAAATACTCTAAATAAAAATAATGATTAATATTACATATTAAAAAAAGTTCTTTGCATCTATTGGTATTTTAATGTAAAAATGTGGTCTTCTATCGGTTTTTTAATGTAGAAATGTGGTCGTCCAAAACATTTGCAACTATTTTATAACTACTCTAAAAAACAATTTAAAAATAAAAAACGATTTAACAAATGCAATCCTTTAGAAACAGAGCATAGAGGCGGGAGACCAGAGTTTATTTTTAGAAGTCTATTGTCCGGGTCAATAACATTCTCAAGACATAAAAGGTTGTCAAAATCAATGTGTTTTTGAGTTGAAGATTCAAAAACATTCTGAACCACAGGTTTCTAAAACTAGGTATTCATATCTTTGGATTTTCATCAAAAATTTCCGAATGTCCTTGCTCCGTAACATTTTTCGAAGTTCAACGTTTTGGTAGTAAAAAGTTTCGCCGGAAATTTTTGAAAATATTTAATAACATTAAAAAAAACATTTACACCGGTAAGTTTTAACGCCAGTAGTATTTTACGCAGGTAAAAAAGTTTTATAACATCGATCCCTGATGATATCATTTAAAACTTTTAGGGACTCAAAATACAATTTGCAGACGGTTACAACTTTCAGAACTTTTGAGCTTTAGAACAGCAAAAATCCTTTCATTTCTCCTAAGAGCGAAAAACTAGTATTGAATTTGAAAATACTCTTAGAGACTTGAGCAACCGTGGCGCAGTGGTAGCGCACTTGCCTCAGAAACTTAAGATCCGTGGTTCAAACCCCACCTCTGGACAAGTTTTGCGACATCGGTTGGGAAGGAGGCGTGAACTTCCTATTAAATGGTCTTCCGCGGTGCTCTGTGATAAGACCGTAAGGACTTCTTGGGGCACCTAAATCAACATAAAAAAAAAAAGAGACTTGACTATTAATGATTGAAAAAGAGGATTGTGGAAAAATTAATCAATTTGAAATGTTCTAAGGATGATTTGATGCTACCTAGATCTAAAGGTAAACATTTCGACCCTAAATACACAAGAAGAACAGTCAAGCATGGTGGCGGAAAACGTGCGATGGTTTGGGTTGTTTTTCTGGTGGAATTAGACCTATCTATTGAATAAATGCCATTATGGATCAATTTATTTATCTTAACACTCTAGAAAAAAAGGTTTCTAGTGCTGATAATAACATGCTTCTTTTATTAATATTTCAACAAGAGAACGGTGCAAAACACACCTCTAAAAAAAAATTTTGTCATTGGGTTGCTAAATGTTTTGAAGGACTGTAAGTCAAGCAAAAGTTTAAAATCAGTTTAGAATTTTTTAAGTAAATCCATAATTTATTGAAGATGAGATATGCAAAGGTAAAATTTATTTAATGTTATAAATTAAATTTTGGCTTTAAATTAAAATATAAATTAAATTTAACATGTATGTAACATAATTTAAATCTTAGCTTTGCGTATGTCATCCTTGATAAATTATGGATTTAACTAAATAATACTAAACTGATTCTAAACTTTTGCTTAACATACAGTCTTTCCAAATATTAGCAACCCAATATCAAAATTTACATACAAAATATACATACAAATGTGTATATAATAATTTATGTTATATATATACATGTTCTCTGAAATACAAATCATTTCAAAGATAAATGGCATAGAGAATGATTTTTTAGACACAATAAACGAACAATCTTTAGTACAAATGGTAAGTACACCAATGTATCAAAAAATCCAATATGGAATGATCTAGATTACTTGATTTAATTTTAGTCGAAAATAAGCACAGAATTGAATACATATCCATTAGGTCACCTAATACTTCATTATAACTATATAATAAGTACTAACAATGATAAACAATTTACAAGTAAAAGTCTTTATTTTAAAAATGGAGACTATATAAATATTAATAAAGATATATCTGAAACAAATTGGCCAATCTTGTTTGATAATAAAAATATTGAAGAGTATTATAGTTTGTTTTTAGCTAAATATGAAGAATAGTGCATCAAACATATAAAAATGTAAAAAAATATTGTCAAATAAACAAAAAACATAAATGGATTAATTACGAAGTAAAACAAATTATGAAAAAAAAAAAACAAGATATGGCATCGTAATAACGCTTTAGGATGGATGTCTAAATCATTGATTAAAGAATATAAGGTAGTACGCAACTCAGTACTCAATCAAAATGGTAGTTTAAACAATGAGTAAAGATAAAGTTAAGACATTGAACAAACAATTCCAATCAGTTTTCATACAAGAAAATGAATCGGAGAGCTTGTCTTTCTTTGAATCTCAATTGGTTATTAAACCAATAAAAAAATAATAATTCACAATTGATGAAGTGCAATCCCATTTGTCAAAACTTAATCCTTTCAAATCGGTTGGTGGAGATGGAATCAGCCTTTACGTAGTAAAAATGTGCGCAGAATCATATTCTTTACAATTGCAACTAATTTTTCAGCTCTCCTATAATAGTGGATGTATTACAAATGCTTGGACTAAAGCAGCCTACTCGAATGGTCAGATTTGGCGACAAAATGTATAGCTAGTAAAAGTAGTGTTGATTTAGACTCTAAAGTTTTTGATAAAGTGCCACATTAATGATTAATGCTTAAGTTATCAACGTATGGTTTAAATAAAAAATAACAATAAAATAAAAACTTTATTCAAGTATATAAAAAGCAGCCATTACTTTTATCGTGAAATGAAACAAAAGATATGTAGGCATTTTAACATATAAGTAAAAACACATCATGAATACTTAATTACAAACGCTAATGGGTATATTTTTAAAATTAAAAAAACCGAAATAAGATTTAAAATTTAGGAGTTATTATATCCAAAGACCTAAAAACCTATGCACATTTAAATTACATAGTAGTAAAAGCAAATAGTATACTTGGGCTTTTGAAGCATACATTTCAATTTAGAAACGAGCACATGGAAAATGCTAAATACGATTTATATCCGCCCGCATCTAGAATTTGCAGAGCCTGCATGGAGACCATATCTAGAAGGAAATATCTTTAAAATTGAACAAGTTCAACCAGGAGCTACGAAAAGTTGCACATTGTGCTACGAAAAGTCTGCACATGAAAAATCTTTCATATGAAGAGCGAATCAATAGACTTAATCTAACAACGCTGGAAATAAGAAGAAATTGTGGTGATCTGATCCAAATATTTAAGCTAGAAAATCATTTAGAATTAGTAGAGTGGAACTCACCTTTAGGAGTATATTAGAAGATATTTTGTGAGAGAGATTGTCAAAAACTCAGACATAATTTTTTTAGAAACAGAATTGTTAAGGAATGGAACAATCTTCCAAATGACATTAGAAAATCAAAATCAGTCAATGAATTTAAAGTTTTACTTGACAGACTAAGCTCGGGTTGCTATAGCGCACCATCTAATGTTGGTGGGCTGCACAGTTAGTTAATATAAATTTATATTTATAAATACTCTGTAAAAAATTATTTATGCAGAAATGTATATTACTATAACTTTATTACATGTATCGTATGCACATGTAAGTTAATAATTTATGTTATATACATACATGTATTGTATATACATGTATGTATATAATAGTTTATGTTATATACATACATGTATTGTTTTTTTTTTGTTTTTTTGTTTTTTTTTTTTTTGTTTTTTTTTACATTTATTTTGCTGTTTAACAAATATAATCAACACATATATATACAAGAAAGAAAGAAATATGTCCGTATAACAAAGAAGACAGTAAAATCTTGTCAACAAGCACCGTTTTTGTATATACAGTATATAAAATAAACTATACTTTTTTACAATGATCTTTATAAAATAAAGAGTTAAACAGACAGGGGCTCAAAGAAGATGAAGATGACAAAACGCAATCTTTTCATAGAGCCCCCTATATACATTTTCATTAGGTTATGGATATTAAATTAAATTAAAAACCCTAATGGGCATAAAACTGCTGCGCTGATCAATAAAAACAAATAAATAAAGAAAGATTATAAAGAAAATTACTTTGTAATCCTTTTAAGCACAAATAATAATCAA